GGACGTGATTCACTAGATAATCATCCTTACTGAAGGGATTTTTACAAATTATTATTGATATAAAGCAGAACAGTCTTGAAGGGGAAATTCAAAACAGGCCATGTCAGGATGTCTTAATGCATGGTGGTTAGTCCCATATGCAAAGCCCTCATGCAGCCAAAGTTGATTTTAACTCATCCCATTTTCTAACCAATAGTTCCAATCACTGAGCTCTGAAAGACATACGGGATAATGAAAATCATGATGCTGTTACTCCAGCTTGGCAACTCTATGCCCTTCTCAGCTTTCTATTCTACACAGGAATGGCATAGAGCTATTTGTGAACTACTTTAAGATAACTGAAGTAACTTTTGATAAAGCTAATTAAATGATCTTTCAAAAAAATATTTCCCCGAGCTTATCTATGGAGTAATAATAGGGGGAGGAAAAAGAAAATGGCCAAGAGTAATAAAGCCACAAGTGAGTGTGTATACAAATCCTGATGGCTCAGTTACCATACTTACTAGCTTTAAATCACTTTGTTCCAAGACAGGAAAATGATTGCAAACATGTGAATTAAGAAAAGGTAATAACCTGGCAGCCCAGTTACACTAGATAAAATTCTGAGAGAAAAATGACCATGGGAAAAAGCTGACTGTGAAAGAGTTACACTAACAGCACAAATACATTCACTGTTACTGAAGTGGAAACGGTAGGATAATAAACTATGAGCACAGAACAATATGATAAAAAAGTTTATCCTCTGCAAGATTCTTCATACTGCTTTCTTGGACTTTCTCCAAACACACTTCCTACAATAGAGGAGCAATCCCAGGGGAAAAAAAAAAAAAAAAAAAAAAGTGACAGATATTTATACCTCCTCCCACTTGCCTCAGGGATTAAAAAGAAGCAGTCATTAAAAAGGCAATTTAAAAAGCCAACTTTTCCTGTAGACTTCAAAAAGGTAAGCTTGCTTACAAGTATGTATGGGGAGAGCATAGACAAGCTTTTGTCAAATTCTGTTTCCACACCACATATCCCAAAATAACTCCCTGTAGCAGATGCAGGCCCACTGGGTAAGACAAACAGGATGCCAAGGAAGAAGGTTTATTTTCTTGCTCATCTGCTTGCATATTAAAAGCACTAAGTCCCCTTTAATAAAGTCTTAAATGTGCTGGAGAAAGCTAAGGATGATCCTTGATTCTTGTCTTGGCTGCACAGGAAGACATAATGAGCACAAATCTGAGCAGACTCTTAAATTGTCTTTTCAGAGCAGTCAGAGACTACAGTTTAGTAAAACTAGTAAGTAAGATTGCACAAAGGTAATCTAGGAGAGGTAAATATCTTGTTTCCAATTCACAATACTTAAGCCTATGGTTCTGCACACAGCTCAGCCAACTTGTGCCCGTTGGAGTCTGTTTTCAATCCTCTGGTCAGAGCTCCCTCTAGGGACAATTTCCTCCCGTTATCCCACAAACAAGCCTGTAGCTCTAACTGCAGTGCTGCAGTAAAGAGAAGTTGCCGGTCTCATCTAATCATAGTGCCTCAACTCATAAATATTCTAGCTGGCACAATAGACAGAACACAGCATCCACACTTAGAGAGATCTAACATCACATCATTGTCAGTGATGAGACCCCAGATCTACTCTAGTATGATCAGAACTTATTACACATTTGGTCTTAATGAAATCAATTTAGTTTCCTTCATTTTTTTTCTTCAAAGGAACCTTCACTCAAATATATAAATCTCTGGTTCTTCTGAATTCTGTGTTGGCTGTCTAGTTTATTCAGTGACATTTATACTTCATCTGTACTTGGATTTTTTTAAACCTCCAGGGCAGATCTCTTATATAAGCTTTTTGATGGCCTCTGCTCAGCCAATGTGTTAGGGTGAAGATTGTGACTTTTCATTGAGACAGCACAGAACTGTTCAAATGATAAGCTGCTTCACAAGGTAACTTGAACTCAGGAAAGATGAAAGAATGTGTGGGGGAGACCTTCCTATGACAGCAAATTTCCCCCGGGGGTGTGGCTGTGGGCTGAGTGGCATTATATTTTTTTTCTTTTTTTTTTTTTTCAAAGACCATATGAGAATTGCTCTTTGAATTCAGATACTCATGTATTTCTCTGGCAAAAAAAAAAAAAAAAAAAAACAACAAAAAAAAAAAACCAAACCACCAAAAACCCTACTCTGTAAGAATCTGTCAGATCTTTAACAGACCTGGAGGTCTGCTTATCAGAAGCAGAGTTATAGGAGAAATAACTGGTGAAAAATAGTGTAGCTCTACTTTAGATCCATAGAGGAAAGATACAGGATTTCAGCATGTACTGCTAATAGGCCAAAACTTAACTTGAATGTGCTACAATTTTGAATTTGTTACAATATGCCTGTAAGAGATGAACTGTAGTCAGTTGGAACTAAACTCCACCAGAAAAACAGCAAGCTAGAAAAACTACACACAGATTCAACCAGGAAAAAATGAAGACCTCAGCTGTTTGCACTTCCAACAAGGTAAGACTTCAAATAGAAATGCAATATTCCTTTTCTGGTATCTCTGCAGTCTATGTTATTCTTCAGCTGTCCACGGGGTTCTAAGTGCACTTTAATGAGGCTAATGGTCACTCAGACTGTGTTGGGACATATTTAGGACTCTGAGCAAACAAGATTTTGGACTGTCTGGTTAATTAGCATTCATAGACACAAGGCTCACCTACAAAAAATGTACTCACAGTCTCATGGCCTGACCAGTCCTCCTGTGATATGCAAGGCTACAAGAGATGAAGCTCCACAGGTATGGAGCAGGACGAAGGGCCACCAGCACATTACTTGCTGTGCCTGCCTGCCTTCAGAGATTATTTTTCCTTTAAAGTATCAGTGAACAGATGAAGTTGGGGCAGGGAGCAGAGAAGGATGTTGTCTGTTTTCTATTAATTTACATTATGTAATCCAGTCTAAATAGAAGAGTTAATTTATTTCAAGACTGCATTCTAGGGAGACCTAGAGCCTGCCATGTGTTTTACCGTAGAACTTAAAGAGGCAAGTGACAAGGCTCTTTAATATGCATTCAATAAAACCACATCTATAATAATGCATAAACCTAGGTCTGAGAAACCATTTAGGTCACAAATGAAGTAACGTTGGTGGTATTCTCCACTCATTCTGCACTTCTGAGCACATCACAGAAGATGGCAAAATTTATCCTCATCTGAATAACAGGAAAACTTAAGGTATTTACAATTCTGATACAAGTCCATAGAGGTGAAAGAGCTGAAATATTAAATGTTTGAAAAAGTGGTTCTATGCAAAATTTACCTCAAAAAAAGAAATTCAGCTTTTGTTATACATTAAAAGGTTACTATGGCAACTTGATTGCTGAACTATAATGAAAAATGGGTTCTTACTCCCATGACAAATTCCAGTTTTCAAGATTCTATCTCCTCTGCTATTTTGATTGGCAATGTATTTTCTGTAGTTGTTACAACTGACTTTTTCTTTTTAAGCTACAATAACATTCATACTGAAACCTAGAGATCCAGCAAAGGTAACATGAACTTGCCCTATTGGATTTGTTTCTCTCCAGTATGCTCTGTCCTAATGCTGTTCATGCTGAATCCAGTTTCCTGCTCTTGCATTGAGTGATTTACATGGTTTTCATCTGAGGTAGTTTATTTTAAATGTGATTATTCTGATCATATCAAACCAGTACATACAGTTCATACAGTTTTCTCCCTGTCTTGACTTCTACGCTACTTCAAGTCTCTAATTCTTCAACACCCACTGTCAAAATCTCTCTTTTGTATGACTTGCATTTTCTCTTTGTCACTTTTTCCTCACTGAACATAAATTAACACTATCCTCTTAGTTTTTCTTTGTGGGAAGCATTGTCAAGGATGATTTGGGGGTCACTCAGATAAGAGGGGTTTTGAACCTGCACACACACACTGTGTCCACCATCCTTCAGCATTGCAGAGCTTACTCTCAAGCCCAAACAATTTCATCAGTAGGAAACCCCCTGTAACACTCGGTAGAATTCCCTGCTCACTTGCATTTCATGACTGTGCCCTTCAGAAAATCTGATAAAATGTAGCTGGTGCATTAGTCACCCACTCCTACTGTAGACCAGGCTCAGAACCATGCCCGTAACTCTCTCTCTTTAAGAAAGTGATTCATTTTAAACAGAATTATTTTTTTTGCTATTCAATACTCAACCTGAAATATATCATGGTTGCCAAGATAAGTTAATAATTTGCCTATCACCAGGTAGGTTTGAATCCAGTCTCTGATTGCAGACATCTAAGCCCAGAAGGGAAATTTCCCACAGCAGTGACATTTTCTGAAAATTCCCCTTTACTGCTTTAGCAGAAACAGCTACTGTGGCTCTGGGGGCTTCTGTGCCTAGAGTTGTTTTCAGTGTTCTCTGTCCAGACTTAATGGATGCAGAGTTTGCAGTCATGCCTGATTCACAGCTGTGGTGATTTCTGTCTACATTAGGGCTCCCAGTGTTGCTTCCAACAATGTAGATACAGCGTCTCTGTGGTGATGAAATTAACTTGAATGGGGGATGAGGTCGGAAAAGTGAAGACAGGCAGGGTCTTCTGCTGTCATTATTTCTACAGTACCCAACCATTCATATTAGAGTAAGTAAAACACCTTGACTTACTTTTTATTGAATCAGTATTTCTAATTCACTCTGACATTTAGGCTGGAATTTGCAAAGGAGTTTGAAGTACCTATATAAGCTTAATTCAGTTTTCACTGCTGATACCTCAGATACCATTAAGGATCTCACTATGACTTCTTACTAACACCAAGGGGGAAAGTTTCTGTTTTTCAGAAAGGTTGTTAGGATTTCATAAGTATAATTAACAACTTGGAGCTCAAGTGTTCCTCACATTATCATTAATAAACTTACTACTTGTGTTCAGCCAGTAACCGTACAGGTGGTGGAATGGACAGGAAGTTTGAGGAGGAAGTGTGAAAAATAGACTGAGGACTGTAATGTTGATGATAATCTTTATGCTTCTTTACAGAGAAGATGAAGAACTCTCTGCTTGCAGCTATCTTTTTATTTGCAACAGGTGAGTTTTCATCTGCTGTGTAATTTAATACTGTGTATAAATAGTAAAAAATCTTGATGCTACTCAAAGGGCAAGCTGCATTGCCAGAATCATGACCGAACTATGCTCTGTGGGGAGGAAAAACAGCAACCGGCAACATTTTTTCCTGTTTCTTTCACAGCCGTCTTGTTAAACGATTCCTTTTTATTCCCCAGATTCCTGCCACCGCGTGAACCGGGATCTCCCACTCTGCCAGGAGCTCCCGGGTGGGTAAATATTTCTCACGTTATCCGAACTGATCGGCAACGCCGAACGTCACAGATGACGCGGTCCCGCCCGCCGAAACGGCCGCCGCCCGCCGCGCGCCCCGCCACCGCCTAACGGCCGTGCGCCTCCAGCCTGGCCCCGCCCACAGGCTGCGGGCGCAGGCTCCGCCGCCCCGCCCACTGCGTAGGCCACGCCCAGCCCACCGAATGCCCCGCCCGCCGCCAGCGGATGCCCCGCCCCCTGCCCGCAGCGGGAAATCCGCGGCCCAGCGCTGGGAAAGAGCGGTTTTGCCCCAAAAGAGACGTCTGCAGCTCCCCGGTGGGGAGGGCAGGCCGAGGCAGCACGGGCAGCTGCGCCTGGGTGGTGGTGCCGTGCTTGCAGCTACGCAGAGGTAACCAGGAGGCCGCGGATAAATCCTCCACGGTCTCCGGACACGCCACCGTGATGGCCGAAGTCAGTAGAATCTGTGACGTTTATGTGTGGCCATTATTGATGCGTTATGCTTAGCTGATAAATTACTGTTAGTGGCAGAAAGGACCAGTCCAGCGCATTTCAGCAGAGGTTATTACAGGGACGCTGGCGGTCATCTGATTTACTTCGTGCTGAATATACTGCAAACAGAAATACTCTACTTGCTAAGAGCCACAGCAGAGAAGATAGGTTTTTGAGACACTGGGTAAGATTTCGTCAGGAGGACTGTATTAGCTGTGTATAATTTTTTTGTCCTTTCTACTGGCCCATCAGACTAAATTATACTAAGGCATTACTGAGAACACCAGATATACAAGAAGAAAAAACACTTATAGAGGGGAAAAAACAGCACGGCTTTTTGTTTTGTTTTGTTTAAGAGGAATAAACTGGCTCATGTCTTCAGAACAGAGAACGTTTTTTTCCTTTGCAAAGTTTTTGGAGCATGGTCATGGTACAGGACTAATACTATTATAGCGCTAGGAAGAACTAGTAATATGCATGTTCTTTAAGGGAAAGCTGTACAGTAAACCAAAAAAGCACTAGGTTAGAATTGAATGTGCATGTGGACACTAATACCCACAAATAGCACAAGTGAAAAAAAAAACAGTGTGTAGTTTTTGTTATGGTCATCTGGAGAAAGTAACATGGAATTTAGGTATATTGGCAGTGGGGTAGTGCATTGCAGTGTTAGTTGAGCTAATACACTATTTCCACATGTAAAATCTACTATTTTTACTTTCTCTGTTCTAATACTATCGTCTCATAAAGAAAGCCAGAGAATTCTTGTAATACTGAGAGCATGAGGAGCAACACCACCCCCTGTTCTTCTATAAGGAGAGACGGGTCTGCAACACTGTGGTCACCACTTGGATCTCAGTTAATACAAATTATTTGGGGAAGAAGTTAGTAGAAATTTAGTAGAAGAGTGACAGTGTTTTCTTCTCATCACTCTCTCCAGAACTATTATTTCAAATAGTTTCAGGAACACTATGTTGCAAATGTATTGATATGAAGTGTTACAGCAGTTCCAAAAAGGTCTTGTTTTCAGTTGCTTCTTTAAAACTACAAACAAAAAAGAAACACCAAATAAATGAAAGGCTTATTTCAGAATAAAAAAGGAGAAGAATGTGAAAGTAGTTGCTACTTTTCCTGGTTATTAGAGCACCATGTCTGAGGTGGCCATGGTTTGGTATGGTGGTCAGACTAGGAAAGTGAAGAATTCAATAATTATTCACATTGCTGTAGAAACATAGAAGACCTAATCTCCACCTTCCCAAAAGCTACACACACCTAAACTGATGCAACATAATTTTATTAGAAAAGCACATTTCTTTTAGTGGAGAGAGGAAGTGTCACAGGGTGAGGGTATTAAAGTCCAAGTTACACTCATCTGATGCTTTTTCATGCAAATTAACCCTTAACTTAAATGTACAGATGCCATCCGAATGATGAAAAGAATACCAAGGATACTCTGTAACTCAGGCTGGAGGAAGAAATGGGTCTGAATGAGGAAAACAGGAGGAATGATCTTTTATCTCATAACTCACCTTATGCAATCGCATAACCGTGCTGTAACATCAACTCCAGATACACACAAATTTACTTACCAAATAGTGAAATGTTCCTTATTCAAGACTGATAGGCCAATGACAACTCATTAAACCTAATAGATATAAAGAACATGAGACTCTATTCATCAGGAAAAAGTAATTTTTATCACCTTAAGTATCCTGTACCTGCTGTGATCCTTATCTGCTTTTCTGAAGATAAAAAAAAATAAATTCTGGGTATTTTAAAAAAAGTGTGGGTGGTACTTTGAGACATCATGGCTGATTCTTCTGAACTAATAGTTCAGACAGTAAGACACAAAGCAAAAGGAGAACAGTCATATTTTGTCACTATCATTTCTGATAAGAGATTTTTGAAATACTGAAATAAGCTTAACCACTAGAGACTGAAAATGAGTTTCTTTAAGAATGTCATCAGTGTTTAATTTCCCTTCATCTGAAAAATGCATATGTTCAGTTGCAAAAAAAAAGAAACAAAAACAAAAACGTATTTTTCTTTTCAAAAGCTAAATGCAAGTAATTTTGTACATAAATTTATGGTCTTCCTGCTTTATATTGTGATCTTTATGAAGCTAGTATAAGCAGCATATTGTTTTTCTGCAGCCATAGTGCATTATTCTGAACTCCAGATAGAGATGACTGATGGTTTTGGAGTAATTCTGGAGTCTAGTCAACCGGTTTTACTGTTGATAATTAGCCCTATGCTGCAGTGTATAGTGATTTGCAAAAAACTCCACAGTAATTCTTGCCAGTTGGCAATAATGGAAACATCACATTGGCCAATGGTGTTAGTCTCTAAAATGCAGTCCCTCTCTCCTTTTTTTTCCCCCAACTTAATTGCATGGCATTCATTTCTAAGATGTTTCACGCTTGTGTGCGGTCAGTTCTGCCTCTACTTTCAAAAATGTTTACGGATTTGTGTTCAACCGTTGATAAGCTGCTCCAGGCAGAGCTGTGTCCAACTCTGGTTTATAATCCTGCGGATGAACTGAGCCTCCCTCCTGTACATGACAGATGCTCCTGATCCCCCTGGGTTCCTGCACCACAGTGACTCCCCCAGGGAAGGGACTTGCTCCCCAGATCTACAGTAACCCACCAGAAGCCAATGCTTTGTCCAGATTTCAGAAAACAATTGAGGGCTTTCAGAAACAGTGGCAAGACAGCCACTGTCTGAAACCAGAGCAGAGCTGGGAGATAAAAATCTAAGGTCTCTTAGGGAAGAGATTCATAGTGATTTTGTTATCTGGTTTAAGATTACATTGCAATAGCTTTCCTTGAAGCAGAGGGCCAAAAGCTAGTAATGCTTCCTTGAATATATTGAATTTGTTTCTGCAATTTTTATGCCAAAGAATGCAATAATGTTTCCAGAAGTATAGAAGGTATTTCGTTCAGAATTGGAAAAAAAAAAAAAAAAAAAAAAAAAAAAAAAGCTTTAAATAAGTGTAGAAGCAAGCAGCAAGCAAAGCAAGATGTCACTATTATAGGAAAGAAACACAGTTGAAAGGTGTAATGACACCAAAGCAGTAGGAAATGGCATAGCAAGCATTTCAGCACTATGTTTCTGGGTACATAACAGCTGGTAATAGCATCATAATACACAGGAATAATTATCCTTTTCTACCTTCATGTAGGAAAACCAGGTTTTACTTGGAAACTTTAGGAATTATGAGTTTTAACTATGCTAAATGTCTCTGCCTCTTGCTCTAAACATTAGTGAACTACTTGCCTTGAGAGTAAACGTGGAGTAAGGACTCACACAGCCAGTCCTTATTTTGTTGTACAAAATGGTATAGCCTGTTTTGTATTTGGTTTTGCTTCTCATAGTTACCTTGCATCAGTTAATGGTAAAAAGTTGTCAGTGATGAGTCTTCTCCAGCTCACATATTTTCATCTTGCAGATTGGGACAATGAATTGGTATGCTACAAAGAAGTAAGTGAGGATCTAACCTGTACCTGGCTGCCAGTACCCAGTGCTCCAAATACCATTAATTATACCGTATTCTTAAAATGGTAAGTCTAAAAGTCATTTCAGAAAATGAAAAGCTGTCATTGCTGATTCTTACCTGCCAGAGTTTTGCTCCAACATTTTTTGTCACATTGTAGGTTGTTACACAATATTGGTCAAAATCTTCGTATCTCATGAATACCTGCTGATCTGGTAAGAGCTTTGTAGGAGTGTTGTGGCTTGACCCAGGCTGGACACCAAGTGCCCACCAAAGCTGCTCTATCACTCCCCTCCTCAGGTGGGCAGGGGAGAGAAAATATGATAAAAGGCTCATGAATCGAGATAAGAACAGGGAGAAATCACTCACCAGTTACTGTCACAGGCAAAACAGACTCGAGTTGGGAAAAATTAATTTAATTTATTGTCAGTCAAATCAGAATAGGATAATGAGAAATAAAACCAAACCTTAAAACACCTTCCCCCCACTCCTCCCTTCTTCTTAGTCTTAACTTCACTCCCAATTTTCTCTGCCACCTCCATAACGAGCGGTGCAGGGGGATGAGGAATGGGTGTTGTGGTCAGTTCATCACCCATTGTCTGCTGCTCCTTCCTCTCTGGGAGGAGGACTCCTCACAGTCTTTCCCTGATCCAGCGTGGGGTCCCTCCCATGGGACACAGCCCTCCAGAAACTTCTCCAATGTGGGTCCCTCCCACAGGGTGCAGTCCTTCAGGAACAGGCTGCTCCACCGTGGGTCCTCCACAGGGCCACAGGTCCAGTCAGAAAACCTGCTCCAGTGTGGGCTATTCTCTGTGGGTCCACAGGTCCTGCCAGGATCCTGCTCCAGCGTGGGCTCCTCACGGGGTCACAGCCTCCTTTGGGCATCCACCTGCTGTGGTGTGGGGTCCTGCACGGGCTGCGGGTGGGGATCTGCTCCACCATGGACCTCCCTGGGCTGCAGGGGCACAGCCTGCCTCACCGTGGTCTTCACCAGGGGCTGCAGGGGAATCTCTGCTCTGGTACCTGGAGCACCTCCTCCCCCTCCTTCTCCACTGACGGTGCCTGCAGAGTTGTTCCTCTTGCATATTCTCACTCCTCTCTCTGGCTGCAATTGTGCCACAATTTTTTCCCTTCTAAAATACGTTATCCCAGAGGTGTTACCACCATCCCTGATGGGCTCGCCCTTGGCCAGCGGCGGGTCCATCTTGGAGCTGGCTGGAACTGGCTCTGTTGGACATGGGGGCAGCTTCTCACAGAAGCTACCCCTGTAGCCACCAACCCCCTCCTCCAAAACCTTGCCATGCAAACTCAATACAAAGAGTTATTATAGATCTTTCCATGCCTCCAACACACTGTTTGAAACACTATTGCCAAAATCACCTTAATCAATTACTTTTATTGGTATCTACTGACTTGTATTGGATATTCAACGCTAATGCATTCAAACTAAAACAAAACAAAAATACACAAAAAAAAACACAAAAAAGGCAGACACTAAGCTGGTTTTTACTATACATCATATATTATGTTATACCTTGTATTCAAGCAGATGTCACATGTGGCACATAAGAAAAATAAGTTTTAAAGTATTTTCTTGCAATTCTGAATTATCAAATATTGGTTTAATAGGTGGAATGAACTTGTAGAGTTATTCTTAAACTGATTAAACTTAAAATATGGGTGTCTTCAGCTGTGCCTGTTTTGAGAAAGCTAAAACAAAGAAGCCAGGTAAAATGTAGATTGGCAGATTAAATCAACATCTGCTCATTGGTTTGTTAAAAATAAGAAAAAAAAAAAAAAAAAAAAAAGCCAAAAAACCCCACATAGATTTCTGTCTCAGTAAGTGCATTACAAAACAGATTTTCCTCATTTTTTATCTGCATATTTGGCATCTCCCATGATATTAAGGGTATGTTTAGAAAGAAGGAAGTGAGATCAGAAGACATGATCTTTGCCATGAGACCGTATCATCAGGTACACAGGGTACAACACCATATGCTGTTGGCAAATTCTGATACTTGTTGCTGATTATTTTGCCACATAACCCACCACTCTGCACTAAAAAAGATCTGTGGTTAGGAGCATCTCCTAAAGCTAAGGAAACATCACTACACTGGGAAATTCCCCAGGGTGATCATCTGCACATTGCAGAGGAGCAAAGCAACCACCTCAGGGCAGAGGTTACTCCCCCCCAGGACCTTCAGTATATTCTCACTGGAGGTAGCAGCAGGTGCCAACTTGCAGTAAGCACCAAACTCCGCTGCATTTGCTGTCTTGTCCCTTGGGTCTTCCAGGAGCCCCTATTTCTTGGAAGGGGAGAAGTGCCTGTGAAACAGCTCTGCTTCTTAGCAATGCTATCAGCTGAAGTATTTGTAAGCTAGTTGCTCTTAGAGTCTCAGCCAAAATCAGGCTGTGCTGTTTCTAGGCTGCAGGGTTGATGTTATGAACAGAGAAGGCAGAAAAAAAGATTGAAAGGGGAACTGGTTAGGGGAGGAGGGGTACAATTGCCTCACAGAGATGTTGATTTTCCCAAGCCAAAGCCAGGACTTGAAGCTTGGTGCCCAAGGATTGAACCCAGTGGTCTTAATGAAAAAATTCCTTTTTCCTTTTTTATTGGGTTAAAAGGAAAACAAAACAAAAAAATATTTGAAAGGGCTATTTGCTTTCCTAAAAGAGGACACCACCCCTTTATGCAAGTAACATCAGTTTGACATTGAAATTGTTCCTTATCCTTGCTCCGTATGATTTAGTTGTCAGGAAGAAAAGGATTAAACACTCCCACAGAGAAGTTCCAACTGAGCATTCAAAATCATGCTTTGAAATATTAATGACTGATTCACAACTAGTCTGAAGTAGAAGGCAGGAGACCCTTCAAGTGGTTTTGTTCAGTTATTATATACTATATGATGATTAGCACATTTAATACTTCAAATATGTAGGTAGACAATTATGCCAGCCCATTTCTTTAAGAACATTGAACTGGCACAGCTTTGACCTTGAAAAAAATCTCTCCCTGCATGACAAAGAGTAAATGAGAGAAGTGAGGAAGAAAAACCTAGGCAGAACAGAAACAGCCTCCTTGTGAGGCCTTAAACCTCTTTGACTTTTTGTGCTGTGTGCATTAGTTATGCTAGGAGATGTCTACAAAGCTACAAGACTGAAGTGGTGTTTAAACATCTCTGTCAAACTGACGCTTTGCAGGAATAAAAGTCAGAAGACAGGCATATAAATCAAAAGAGGATTTTCATAGCTTTGTGGTAATTTAGATTCAGATAACTGGGAAATTTTGCTGTTCAAAAGGAATTTAGGTGCCCCTATGGGAGGTGGCAAGTTAGACTTTATGAAGTAATTTCTAAACTAGTTTTTAGCTTCTAAATGTTCTTTATATCCCACTGTAAGTACAAAGGAAGGCCATAAGGATTTTGTCTTGTATCGTGCTGTGCCTTACAAGTTTAAGGAATTTAACTGTTCTCCACCACACAAAAAGGATTTGCATGTTTAGATTTGCTAGAGTTACTAGGGTATTAGAATTACACTTGGTGTTTGAAGATGCTCAGGCCCAGCTTTCAAGATTTCAAGATGTTGAATTTTGTATATAGGTACCTGGAAAACTACCAATTGCTGTAATGATGTTTTCTGGGGCAAGGGGAGGAAAGAGTAACTATAATACAATAAAATGTTTGGTTTTCATTCTGCTTCCTTTTCTCCCAAGGGACAGAATACCAAAACTTTTTCAACGAAACACATCATTATCCTCCATCACGATAGAAAGAAAGGATCTCTACATGAAGCGATCTGCATCTATTTGGATAGCAGTGAATTATGCTCATGGCAGCTGTGTGAAAGGAAATAACATCTCAGTTATACCGAGTGAAGCAGGTACAGTGTCTTCACAAATTTTGTTACTGCAGTGCCCATCTGAAGCAGTGGTAGCATTTTCTTAAAGATTATTTCCAAAATTCTAGATCCCGATATACACTTGTTATTTTTACTGATTCAGAGAGGTAAACCGCAGTTTGGCTTCCTTGAAAGAAATCTTTACTGAAGTCAATAGCAGAAGTCAATAGCTTTTACAGGGGAAGGGTTTTACTTTAAATCATTTGCTAAACTATAAAATAGTAATACACAGAAAAATATATAGTGGTATTTGTGTACAATACTTAACCAGCTTCCTGTGCCCTCTTTGACAGTTTTCTGAACTTCTTTGCTGGTTTACAAAGAGCAGGTTGACTCAATACAATTTGCTTAAGGAATCCTTGTTATAGAGCTTTAAGGGTTTTGAGAAACCTTTTCGAAGTTCAACGCTGTCTGAAGGCCACTTACCCACTACAAGGTGCTGCACAGGAGATATGAAAAAAGAAATCCTGTTAACTGTGTGCTTTAGATGCTTATTTAAAGATTCCCTATAGTAACTGATCACCGAGATAACTTTAAGAGCTTCCCAAAATTTCACCTTCTCAGAGTAATCATGGTCCAAGAAAAAACAGTTGCTTCTCACTGCTGGAGGTCACTACCAGTATAACCCAAATTATCACTATGACCTCCTCTGGAGGCTTTTGGCCACCTTGTGTTTATTGGAGGAAAAGGCAAAAATGTATTTGCACTTACAGTTATAGAGCTAAACACAGTTACTGAAACTGGAAGTCATTCTGGGAATTTTTTATACAATTCACGATTATAGGTACTCTTGACATTTTTATTTTGCCTTTCAGACTCTCTCAGAATAGCATCTGCTTAGAAAAAGGGTCTTCTTGAAATAAGTAGAAGTACTCACAAAAGAGAGGCAAGAAGAACAACCCTATTTTGTTGATACCATAAAGATTTAGTAACAATTTCTTTCCAGTCTTTCAATGTTTAGTATTCTGTCTCAAGTCTTATATTTCATAAACCACACCTGACAGACGTAATTACCACAGCTTTCCTGCTTCTTTTGCATTTGTAACAGCTGCATGTTCCCCATTTTAGGAAAGTGCTTGACACCATCTAACATAAATGCTTATCAGATGACAAAACAATTGATAATAAAGTGGGACCTGCCTGCAACTCCTACACCATATGAGCTGAGGTACAGAGAGGCACTCACAGAATCCACTCAGTGGATGCTGGTAAGTACTAAGAGATATCACTTGGAAACATGAGGTGCCTTACTATCAGCTCAGTGGTACATAGCAGTATGGCAGGACATCAACAGGATGTGACTGAAGAGCACGCACAACATGGATCACAAGGAGGCACTGCACGCAGACAATTTGTAGGCAAATCTCACAAAGGTCTTTTAGTTTTGTTCTAACAGATCCTAAGCTGCTTTGGAAAGAAAGATTAATAGTTTTATACAGAGAAATACAGAACAGTATGTCATCTGCTTCACTAACCCATCAATGAGACACTACGACCATCAGTGATGCAAAAGCTGAAGTGAATATCAGAAATGCCACACAAACTCAAATCTTCATTACGTTTTAAGTGATAGGCAATATTACTCTTTTTGCTGGTAACATTAGATTTTCAAGCTGGCAAGAGATCAGGTTGCTGTGATTTTTAAGGTTACAATTCATATACTTTTGTTTTGCATCAGTTTTCCACATTTCCTTCTTTGACAAGAAGGGAAATAATTTCTCTGTGATACAAGATCAGTTCCAGATGCATTTTAGGATGTGCAACATGAGAATATGGTGCACCAAGAGGACAGTACTTAAAACTAAAGGCACTAAGGAATGGGTGGAAAGACAATCATCATTTCAGTAAGATCTGCATGCAACATCGATGGCTGCTTATCCTGCCCCTTGCCATCCAGCATACTATGCAAAGGCTTCGCCGGCAGGCATGCACATACACACAATTTGTAGCACCAAGTCCCCAAAATTTCCTGGTTTTCAAGGTCTGTTGTCTGTAGCTAGATGAAGAATATGTGCTTATCAGGTAGAACAGAACCCCAAAACAAAAAATGTCTAGAAAGCAACTGTTCCCACTTCTTGGGCATCTCTGCTCTCCTAGGAGGCTCTTCACTTCTTTTGTACCACTGGAATCTCCCATGTTCTTCCCTTTATATCAGAAGACCTATGCTATTTTTTCCATTTCTCTCATAGCTGGCTGCCACTTTGTTTAGCCACTCCAGCAGGAATACTATCAGTAGCCCATATAGGAAAGATTTCATCTTGGTACAAAGAACATGCAAGTCTTGGAAGGGTCCTCTTGTTAATTGACATACAAGTCCTAGACCATTCTAGGACAGCCAGATACCCAAGCATAATCCACCCAGTAGTGCAATAGATAGATAACCCTGTTCAGACAGTCTGGTATGCAGCATGTGAAAGAACGGAGAGTTAAGAGCAGTAAAAAAGCATGTCCGACAGGTTCTGGAGCCAGGGGAGATAAGGAGTATATACAAGTTAGTAGTGTGAAGGACTGGTAGAGACAGCCACACTAGGTGATGAGAATGACCAAGTACTGAAAGACTACAGGTCACGAATATTCATGATTTCCCATGTCCCACCTGATCCTGTGAACTTAGGCTGTAAACTTTTCATAATCATATGAATATAGGCTGCATTTACAGATGAGACTGGAGGGAAAGGGTAAGTGTGGGCATATGAGTACAGAGTATATATAAAGGTAGCAGAGAAATAGTGTTTATCAAGAGTAGGATTAATGTACATATAATGTAATTTAACACTCGGGTTCTAAATCCATTTCGTTTCCCTCTTGTTCTGTAGATTTGGAGTCTTTCTGTAATATTGAGCGTTGTGGGGATTTTTTGTAACCAAACTAATTTTATTAGCAAAAGTATACAAAGTTAATTAATTAACTTCAGTAAAAAAAGAAAACACTGCAGAAAACAAAAGACAAGAGCTGGTCACCTGATAGTGGGGGATTTGATTGGGGATTTGTTGGTTTTGGTTTGTTTGTTTTTTTTTTTTTTTTAAGAATATATAGAATTAAGAAAATAAAACTTCACAGGAGGCAAATGCTAAAACAAATATTTCCATCTGCAACAACACGTCTCCCAAAAATATTATAACAGCTGGAAATGATCAGACCAAAGGTCCATTTAATGCAGAATACCCTGCTCCAATAGCAGCCACCAATAGGCATCTGGGGACGAGTGTAAAATAATTCAAGCATAAAGCAACAGTTTTCTATCATATTTTCTCCTACAGTTTTCAATTCAGGGATTTCCTTAGACACAAGTGGTGTCTTTGTTCCAAGACAATCTCCATTCCCTGTACAGTTGTTGGAGCTCCAGTGCCATCATCAGCTGCAGATGCACCTATCTTCTGTGGTGCTAAGGCATAGTCAGCCACACATTCAGTCCAGCCATGTTCCTTATCACATCAGTTACATGGATCTCTGTAGACATACTGTAACATCTTAGCATAAGGGGATTTTTTTTTTTATATATATTTAATTTGACCTTGACATCTTGTTCTTCAGAATGCCAACAAGGCTCAGAGTTAAGTGATTATTTTTCAGTATATATAAAGCCTAACTGATTTTAAAAGCAATATTTAAACCTCAACTGTTGCTTACGTGTCCTGACTAAGCAGAACAAGTTCATGAAAAAGAGGATATTGCCTTGAAAGACAGACATTGGCTAAAATGTGCGGTAATTTCACTTTGATAATAGGAACCCTTACTTTCAGCTGCAATCAGAAGACTGGTCCTCAGCTGATAAATAGTTAGTGTAAGATTATGTTTTATTTCTGCCACATAAATTAAACTTAATTTGTTTTTAGGTGCCTGTAGAAAGCAATGCTGTCAATGTCACCATTTTGAATTTAAATGCTAGGACTTCGTACATTGTTCAGCTCAGATGCAGAGCCAACGATGGTCTCCAGTGTGTTTGTGTTTGGAGTAAAGAGGTTTTGGTCCCTCACAGTAAGTGAAATACAGTTTTGTCCTACTGGGAATAAGTGTGAATATAAAATTCTTTTCAAATCTTACATCGTATGAAACAGCATTGTCAGACACTTGAAAAGATGAAGATCAAACTGATTCATATGAGTGCATGTCTCCATCTTTTTCCATGCTTACCAGAACTCATGAACAAGCCAAGAATATCATATAATGCAACTACTGAAATCTCTCCAGGCAGAAGAAGTGTTCTTCTCAGGTGGGAGGTAATGTTCGCTTTGAGTCTCTACACCTTCTGTTATGTCTATGCTATTAATTTATTACTTATAGGAAAAAAAATAGGTTTTCTCAGTGTATACACGTCAGAGGCATCCCCTCTTCTGCAGCAGGAGTGATTACCAGCTGACCGACTACAGCAGATCAGTCAGTTTTACCAGCTGAAGTTCTTTTGGTAAGAAATGGGCAACTGACTGTCTTGAATATATAGTCAAGGGACCCACAGGCAATTTCAATGAGCAAGTTGTTATTAGAGATGTTTGCATGGCAACTAACTAATTCTACCCAGATCCTGAGAGAAAGAATGTCTACAAATTCTGAGAAGTTTGCCATAGGATACATCTCTGGCAGATAGGACAGAGACTGGCAGAGTTAGTAGTTACCCCATGCGTTTTTATTAAGGGAAAGAAAGGAAACGGACACCTCATCTCCTGACAAGGATGAGAGGTCCCCTTTTTCACTTATCTCCTGAGAAGTCAAAGATGTACAGTAAATGATTCATTTTGTGATAAAGCAATAGACCATACATGCCAATTTAAATGTTAACCTAAGAGAATAAATTATTCTCCATCTAAATGCTTTAGTTAAAAAAAAAAAAAAAAAAAAAAGTAATATTAAATATGGTATCACGGCTAGGACCTTCATTCAGGATAACACTTACACTAGTTTATTATATGAAATAAGTTTGAAGTCCAGATGGCTTCAGCAAATATCCAAGGAGCAGAGGGAAGAAGTGCACTCAATAATTCAGACATTAAATGTACAGGGAAAAAAAATAAAATCTTTCGCTCTGCTGCCATATTTGTTTAGGCTGATCTGAAACAAAGAAAACAGTTCAAAGATGTTAGAGGCTAGCCATAGCTCCTCTTGTTTTTCTAATGTTCAGTGAGTAACCTCTACACAGTTGCAATCAACAGGCACAAGAGAACTGGCTTCAGCTCTAAACACCCAACCAGGCAGCATGTGTTGCTTTAATAGCTGCAGATAATACAGTCCTCCAGGACTGCACAGGACAGAGCAGTGCTAGCCTTTTCCAGTCTCATTTTGCTAAGTTAAAAAAGCTAAATTCTGCTAGTTTCTTCTTGTGCAGTAGACCTCATATGTCACATAGCCTAGGAACTATTTCTCCTACACAGAAAACTTTTCCAGTTTCAAAGCCTAGTGAAAGAACCATATCATTATTCCCACAGAGACTTTACCAGAGCTTCAAATAATAGCACCAATTCTTTCATCCCTATCCTGGGAAAAACATTGGTTTCCATTTTAAGGACTTCCAGCTTTACCAGAAATTTCTCTCAACATGTGTGTCTCTGCCCTTTAAATTACTGAATGTCGTCCTGTCTATGTTACTCCAAAAGTATCCAATTATTTCATTAAGATAACCCAATCTCCCAGCTTTGTGATATCTTCATACTATTAATGAAATAACAGACAAGCTTGATACCAGAATTAAACCTTGCAGAATTCACAGGCCTTCTTGTATTGAGTTCAGTTTCTATCTAGATTGTAGTAATTTCCATTTCTGTGCACTCATTTTCCGATCTCTTATGAAGATTATTACAGTAAAATAACGAGTGAACTATCACCACTTAAAAATTTGTATCAATGGATATATATAATATGTTCCAAAGTTGTAATATAATTACTATCATTTCTCCTCAAAGAGACCAGATGCCTAACAGAGCCCAGAAGATGAAGATTCCCAGAGGCATAAATGGCAATTAAACACCTCTCATTAACTTTCAGGTTCCTAATTATGAGGGGTATGTTCCAGTGAAATGTAGAGAATGTTACAGCTGCTTCACTGCTGTTCTTACTAATTGGATACACAAAACTAAGATCTCAATTAAGCAAAACACTTAATCCTGTGCTTAAATCCTCTCAATTTAAGCATTCTCTTAATTTTAAGGAAATGCTTTGCTTCATTGATTCCTAATAACCTAATTAGAACAGTATGATTTTATCCCCATCATTAAAGGTGACATTTTGTTTATAGAATTTAATTCCTCTTGATTTTCTGCACAAGATGTAATAACATTTTAGGATAATAATCTTTTTCCTCTCACTAGGTAACACAAAGTGAGAACGTCCTTGGATATTATGTTAATGTGGAAAGAATACCCAACAGTTGCAGGGATTCACCAAATCGTATCTTTCTAAAGGATAAAAAAGTTCTTCTAAACCTCTCCATGGCTTATTATAGAGTTAATATTTCTGCCTATAACAAAGCAGGAGAATCTCCACAAGCCATCTACATTGTCCCAGACTTCTCTGCAACAGGTACTTATTGTTCATTCATTAAAGCACGGAGAAGTTTTGTGAGCAATCTCTAGGCTACCTTTTGACAGTCTTTGGGATAGGGTTAAGCATTCTGAATATTTATTAGGCTGATATTTTTGCATAGTGAGAGTCAGTATTATTTCTTAAGATAGGATTTTGATAGAAGTTAGCTAACAGACTAAGCAAATTAACATTCCATTTAGCACTTCTTGTTTTCTCAAGCTAGAGAAATCATTATGTACTAGATCTACCAATCAAAAAGGCTTTTGGAAAGTACTCAATGTTATGTATATGCCAGAAGTTTAAACAAAGTTCGCAGAATTACGTGCAAATCTAAGGTTTTTGTGCTAAGCAACTGTTAAGAGACCTGCTAACTGTCCTTTTTTTCAGTATTGTCCCCACTGGAACATGGAAGGAGGTACATCAGATGTACATGTCATATTCCAATGAATAGATGTAAGCTTTTGTGATGCCTGAATACAGTTTTTTCATTTAAACAATAAAACTATTTTCCTTACAATGTAAGCTAGTTTCATCCTGAGGTATAGTTATTACAATATAAGAAAAACCTCTCGCTTCAAAGTAAGATTTTTTTTTAAAATTCATCTAGCGCATGCACAAGTAAACAAGTGTGCAAGTATCCTTGTTGTTCTCCAGACAGCTGCAGCTAATTGGTTTTCTAGGATTTTCTAACACATTTCCCTTATTCTGGTTTCCTTTGCCCTGCAAAAACTTAATGATTTGGGTTGTGCCCATATATTTGACTGCTTTAGCTCTCTCATGAACAACAGTTAACACTGGAGCTCCCAGAGACCATTGCAAAGTACTAGATGCTGTTTCGTTTATTGACATAGTATTATAAACCTTACTATATACTGGTCACCTGCAAAGATAACTACTTAATGAATAATCTTTGAAAAAGAGCAAAAGAGGGAAAGCAAGCAAGGAAGGAGAAAATTGCTTTCTTGTTTATTGATCTTGAATGGTATATTTGTTCACAGACTTGCCTGGCCAAATCCACGTCAAACACCAGGGGGTTAATGCAGTTGTCACCTGGACTCCAGAATACAATCCAAAATGTTTTGTGGTTGACTGGGGCACTGGTAAAGAGGATATGCGCATGAAAATAATAACTACAGCTACTGGAAATTTCACGCTAGGTAACAGCAACCAGCACACCTACCTACGGAGACACTGTTTCATTTATTGGTTGGTTTTGGTTGGAGAGGCTAGGATTTTTATCCTGCTTTTAAGAACAAACTGAAGATCCAGATAAATGCAACTCTTATCTTTGTCCAGTGCGGAGGCATCATCTAATTTTTAGCTACATCAAGGCAGACAAAACACAGAGTCTTCGTTAGGATTCTTCTGATCACAGTCGGGCAAGAAATGCAGCTAAGGTGCTGTTGCTGGTATGATGTCTCTCCTTGCCCACATTCCAGGGCTACTGGCTTTTAAAAAAAAAGTTTCTCTTGTCCCTAGGTAAACTTAACTTTAAATATAAACTGCTCTGTTACAGTCCCCCTTAGATTATTTTTTTAATCCCAATGGCTGTCTTTGTCTAAGTCTAAATTCTCAACTCCAGTACTCTGTTTACTAAGCTAGACATGATGAGCTGGATCCAGGGATCACTTTACAGGACAGTCATCATAAATTTTTATTAAAATAATGTAAGTGACTCTTAAAAAGGCCATTCAGGACTGTTTTTTATGTACAGTAGAGAACATTTAGATTCAGAGTTCTATAAATGAATGCACTGTTTTCCTTGGTCCTTCTGCAACATATGCACTGCCATATTACTTGTAGCTGTTTTGCTTGTTTTTAAATATACTATCTGAGGGGGAAATACCTGTCCTTGAACTAAGATATCTACAACCATTTTAGTTCCCTACTTCTCCTTCAGCAGCTGAAGCCTTCCAGAGGGACAATATAAGCAGATCTGGCATCTTTTAAAAGCAAACCCATGTTATGTCTTTTTCTGCTTTTGAAATAACTTGTATTAAGCATCTAGAGACAATGAGGAAGGATGCATATATTTTATACTCAGTGTAAAGCACTGTAAACTTATACTGTGCTTTGAGTCTCAGAAAGTAAAAACTATACAGAAAAGCTATAAAGTTGTTGTCTCTCCTCCCCTTCTTTATCATTTATAACTTTTCAGTAAACCCTGATGTACCTTTATTTGTTTTCCAGACAATTTTCAGCCATATAAGTTGTACAAAATAATGCTACATACATCTGATGTGTGTCAGTGTGAAAGTTTCACAAGACATGAAAAGACTTTTGGAGTGACCCACTTTTACTCAGTTGAAGGAGGTATTCCTCCCCTTTATATAACCTCATCCCTTGTATTTCTTCTTGCTTCCTATCTGCAGCAGTAAAAGGAATCCTACACAAAGTTTCTTTTCCAGGTGATTTAACAGAATTCTTCAGTCAGCATTGCCTTTGGTCCTAGCAGTTATGCACTGGTAGTGAATAACCTGAATGTTGTTCCTTACTGACAGGTCCACAGAAATATTACTATTAAACATAACATTACCAAAATAAGAGAAGGAGGGTCTCAGAGTTGCTACTCTGAGCTCAAATTTAACTGTGGCCAAAGTCAGATTTTCCAATCCCAATTTGGTAGTGTCTTATACTGCAAGTTGAAATGAGTATGGCTGTAGCTATTGGAATAAAAGTGTTTGTAAAGAAACAGTCACAATTTCTACCTGCTTTAGTATTGCTTAAGATTATGGGGTTTTTACTCTGTGGGATTTCTCCTTTCTCTTCCACCTTTTGTGGTATATTTATGACAACTAGAATCTGACAAGGAGCTCTCTAGGAAGTAGCTAGATTTCAGTCTTGTATGTCTATTGCAAAATTACTGGTGCAGAACTTAAATAGTTATCTGATTTTTAAGTTCCTAGGACAGGTCCCACTAATGTGACAATTCTGAATATCACAAAGCATTCTGCGCTTGTGAAGTGGACAAAAATAGCTGCTGAAGACTGTTTGGGCTTTCTCCAGGGGTACAGGATCATCTACACAGATTCATCAAGGAAAAAGTCTCTGGGTAAGTCACCGTTGCTCAGAACAAAGCAGCAGCTCAGAGCCATGAAAGAAAAGCTCCAACAGACCATAGCACACTACTGAGTTACTTAGATTTCTGTGGGAATTGAGAGCTCTCGAAGGCGAGCTCCTGGTTAGAGATTTAATCCTCTAGATGGTCCCATGAATACCTAGAATTTTCTAAGTATCATCTCAAATTAAATATTGATAAGAAAATTTTTCCTTAGAGCTTACAGTTCTAAGACTACTGCAGAATTCTCTAGTAACACTGAAAGGAAGATGTAGACTCTCAGTATTTCTGAGATATTAAGAATTCAGTCACAATACTTCTATGTTTCACTGCAACTCAGCCCAGCTTGACTGAGCCTTTCTACAGGATTTAAGAAATTATATATTTCTTTTTTTAACTCAGTTATCAGGGAATACAGTTTATATTTCTTACCTGTTTTCAAATACATTATTATTTCATTTTTAGAAATATTTTCTTAAATTAATAGCTTCTGGTCTTAACTACAAAGGATGAAACTTCTACATATTAAAATAATGAATAGTTGTGAGCTCAAACCACTCAAGATTTCAAAGAGAATCCCCATACTTCTTTTGGTAAGCATTTTTCTTCTGGTCTGCAGGGGAAAGCCTTCTTGCTATAAACAATAGTAAATGGACTGTGCACATACCGACCTTCAAACAAAATTAAAGACATGCTATGGAAGACAAATATCACCTAAGACCTGTCGAAGGAGAATAGCAAGGGTTCTCTAATTTATGTTGGCCTATGCCTTTACAGGACCATAAAAAGTAACAAAAGCTTCAAGTACACAGCGTTACTGGGAGGCTTGGTATTGTCTTCCTTTCTGGGGGCTCTACCCCACCCCAAATACCTATTAGAAAGCCCAAGGGGAGACAGAAGGGAAGTGTCCAGGACTGAACTTTTTTTAAATTTTTTTTAAACTCTGCCCTATGCAGTCAATACAACAGTGACATGACACCTGATTGCCATCTTTTCCAGGCGGGAAGAATAATTTTATTGGAGAAATTTGAGGAAGGGAGCCTATAGGCTACAGCACCATTTCTACTTCTAAGAAGATCTTAAATTCACAGTGTCAAACATGAAAAGTAATTTCTGCCCTGCTGAAGGCACACTACAGCATTGCTGGTTGCATTATTCTGGCCAGGGGAAAAGTCACTGCACCATCAGAAAATAAAGGTTGAGCTGAAAGCCTGACAGAGTAGGTGGAGCAGAATGCACAGCCCTTTTTCTGTACTGAATGATGAGTAATAGCAGTGGTATTAATTGAGGTGAATAACTACTGACTACTGTAGTGTGAGTAAACCATGTGATAGGGTCTAGTCCTCATGTGCTGTTATAGACAATATGAAAACCACTGTTCAGTGTGTCAGGTGCATTTTCCTGTCACACAGTAAACATAGCCTTCTGCACTCACCACCTAAATGTCCTTGGTGTGTTACAAACTCATGCTTTTTACCTCTGGATTTAAAATGTATGGAAGTATTTTGGAGAAGTCTTGTACCCATCCAAATAACATCTGCACAGTTATGGCTTCCTCCAGGTGTGGATTAGGGCACAGAAATTTTGCCTTTTCCCCAGTCAACTACACTGGTACAGACTCAGCCATCATAGTTTGTCTAATCATGTCTTTCCCTAACCCCTCTTGTGTTTCAGCTGTTACTCTCAATTCTTCTACCACAAGTTACCATCTTACCGGATTGAAGGAAAAAAACATCTATCATGTGCAGATTTCAGGATTCACTAATGCTGGTGAAGGACCTCCGACTCTGTCACAACCTTTCAGCACTCCAAAATATGGTACTGTGGAAGCTCTGTGCTTCTGTGTTACTCATCATTAATCCTTGCTTTATGCACTATATATGGCATTGTTCTCTACACTTTCTTGCTTTTTGAGGAATAACAAAGTGCTCATTCACAAGATTTATTATTCAGTCCTTAGTTACTGATAGCAAACACATAAAATTTTTCATTTGTTAGAGATAAACTATGCATCACAGAACAAATCTGCCTGTATTTCGTTACCTAGCATGTATGGAAGACGTAGCTAGGGTTCCTCACCTCTGAAACATTTTCTGACCTTTTTATAATAGTTATATGCACATACCTTTACTGCCAATTGTTGTCATAGATTTCAGCAGTTTAAACATTCTTGCCTGTGACTAGTTAAGTTCAGTAGTTTTTAGTCTTTGCAAAATCCTGAGCAAACATGAAAAATTGGTTTCCAGTTAGACCCCTGATCCACTAGCTGTAAAAAAAAAAGTCTCTTTCAGTTGATCCTGTTGTGAGTTACAGCTAATCAAAGTTTTTCTAATAATTTAGGTGCATTTTATGTAACAGGTCCTATAGTTCACTGGCAAAATTTGCTTTTTTCAAAGGTGACTGGATAGACTGAGAAGATCAATAGTTACATTTATAAAGTCTCATATATTATAAACATATAGGGTTGGCTAAACATGGTCTCTCAAACATTTTTAACACCTTATCAGTTAGACTAAATCTAACACTTCAGTAGACCCTTTTTTTTGGTTTGACCACAGCTTCACTCAGTTGAAGCTTTCTAAATGAAAAAAGAAAAGAACAGGCTAAGATATCAGCCACAGGAAAGGTAACCTGTGAGATTCAGAGACAGAAGTATGCAAATGGCTTCTCCCCACTACAGCTTTTTTTTGTATTGAGTGAAGGAGGTATAAATACAAACAACTGAGTATTCAAAAGTGTGAAGCAGAAAGAAAAAGGAAAGAAATAAAAAATCTCCTTTGAAAGTGACAGGGTTTCCACCCCCTCCTCTACCCCACTGAAACCCTTTCTTCTGTCGACACAGGAAATTAAAGTGTCTCCACTGAAGATTTTCTGCAGAACTTTGTTCCATGCATTCTGCTGAACATATATTTGGATAGGATTCAGTATTTCAGGAAAAGTCGCCAAAATGCAGAGTTAATTTATTGCAAGATTTTAAAAAATCAAGTAAATACATTGAAATTAAACATCACATTTACTATTTCCCCCCTCCCTGACATTTCACAAGTTACTTAATCCATTATATGAACCTCAGATTTCTTTGTTGTAAAAGCCTTTTTCATCAACAGTAAAATTTGCAGCTTTTCAAATACTTTTTTAAAGCAAAGTGAATCAGCCAAATTAAAAAAAAAAAAAAAGGAATCTTTTGTTGGCAAGTAGGTAGGGAAACTGAAAAGAAGTGGCCTTTTTACAAATATGTTTTTTCAGTGTCAGCAACACAGTCATGTACTGACCACACTTTCCTGGCACTATTTTGAAACTTCTAATTTAGCTATCTGTAAAGAACACCTCAACCCCAACCCACTCCTCCCATCACAGACTGCTTTGGTTCCTGTGTTAGCAGCACTGCTTTTGTTGCCTGAACACTTTATCAACCTTCATTAACCACTCAAGCACTTTATCTCCTTCAGAGTGGTGGAGGGGTGGTGGTGGGATGTATCTCGAGCAGGTATTAACGTAGGCAGTAGATGTAGGTTTGCAGCAAGGGTTGCCAAATAGCTGACTGCAAATAAAAATGTCCTGTTTCTAACTGGTGAAGCATAGCACCTACCAAATATACAAACCATATTATGGTTATCAGGACCAGGGGGGATCTCACCAAAAAAAACAAACGCCCCAAACATAGTAAAACCTGAAACAGATTAAAAGCTACTTGCAAATAGTTTCTTATGAAGTCAGACCTGCATCAGCGCCCTGACCCATTAAACAAGCTACATCGTATGTAATAGCATGGGGAGTAGGAACACTTGTTTTATTGTAAAGTGGTTATCTTTGGATGGTGGATTTAAGAATTCAGCACCTACAACTAGATCCCTTAAAAATACAAACCTGAAAGCCTCAGATACCCCAGAAATCCCAGGTCTTGTTTTAACTAGATTTTATTTACAGGAGTCCCAGAACATGTAAAATTTTATGTGACTTCTGTTTGAAATATTTGTCTTGCAGAAGCAACGTAGTCTTTCTATACTTGATAACATAAATCTGATTCAGTCTCTCAATTTCCCATCAGATAAAGGAGAATTTGAAGGTTTCGTGACTGGTATTTGCTTCAGTATGATGTTCATTCTGGTTTTTGCACCTCTCACTTGCTCTCTAGTGCTTAAAAGGTAAGAAGAGAACATTGGCTGAAGTTGTTAGCAGCACTTCCATTTTGCTTAACCCTGAGTTTCACACTTCTGGGCCTTTTTTGTCATTAAAAGCAACACAATTCATAAAACATACAACACAAACGCAACCCCACTCATTTACACAGTGAGATCAATTACAAACTACTATAAGCTGGCTAAAATAGTTTGTCAAAATTTCATAGTATTTTGGTTTTGCTGCAGTTATCTGACTACCTCCTGTCTTAAACATCCTTGCAAAGAGCAAGGACAAGTTCTCACAGTAGAAAATAGGTCATATATGAAAAAAGCATGCATTTGATTATTTTGCTCTTTCATTCCCAACTGATAATCATGCCTCTTCCACTGAAACTCAGAAATAAATTCCAGCAGCATACACATATTGATGTTGCCATCTAAGCACTTTCCTTCAAGCACATTTGGATGTTAACTGTATAAGTTATACGCATAAGCACATAATGAGAGGGAGTAATGAATGGATGATTTGGAAGAAGAGAGTATTACAAGGGTGCCTGTAAGATATGGATGAGGTCCTCTTGTTTCAGGAGAAATTGTTCTCTGCAGTAATAAAGTACACCCGCTCAAATTAATCTGAGGTACAGTATTAGAGGCATACACTACCACTAAAAGAAAAATGGCTTGCAGAGTAACTGGTTCTCATACTTATTTTCTGATAAACCTACGTGCATACAACCATTCATACTACTATTTTGATGTCCTAGATCACTACCCTCCTTTTTCCTCCTTTTTGCAAAGCACCAGCCTCAGAAGCTGAAAGCACAGCTGCTAAAGGGCAGAACAGAGAGATGGTACAACCTGTGGCTTGAAAATTGTATGGCATGATGTAGCTCAATTCATCTTATGCATCAGGCTAAACTCCTGTCTTTGCTGGTGGGAAACAGCACTCCACATTAAGTCTCCTGTGTACTTTCCTCTTCAGATTTTACTCTAAGTTGCTCTGTATCTGATCTAGCCTTTTTGACAAGAACTTCTGGGACCTGGAAGTTTTGACCTAGAGCAAACTTCATTGTGCTAAATATAAAATCATACTTCATTGTCTGGGCCCATTAGGAAAGAATTTTTGAAAAACTAAAAAAACAGCACACAGAAACCAGGTGTAGCAGTACAAAATAGCAATTAAATATATAGTGGTATTGAACACCTGGGCCTGAGATGAAGGGTCCCAAGAATTTCCTTGATTCCCTGCTTTATTGTAAAAAAGGACTGACTAGCCAGCTGAACACCCATCATCATAGGATCAGCAAGGAGATTGGGTAAGTCTACAGCCTCAGGCTTCACTTCAAACTACAGCCTAAACAGAGGCAAAGTACCTTACAGCTAGCAAAGTCCAGATTTGATTTGAAAACCAGACAACACTGAAGCCAACACAAAGTCAGGGTGATGGGCTGCATAACCTCCCTCCGTTTCTCACGGCTGTGCTGAGCTTTTTTCTTATCGAGGTGAGCCATTGCCCAAAACTCACAGGGGGGTGCTCTGAGAGCAGCTGCTGACAGGGAGGTGCTCAGCTCAAAAATGCCGAGAGATGGTCTCCTTCCATTCCCACAGTAATGAGCAATCAGGAGTGACTGATGCCAATAAGATCAGTCAGCTTAGCAGAAACTCCTTTTGAAATTCTCATCCCACCCCACTACTGCCCCCCTGCAGGAAAATCACAGTTGGCCCCTCCGAGCCTGGGGCCAGAACTCGGGGGTAGTGGGAGTGATGGGCAGGGCACCATTACAGCCTGTCATCTCCAGAAGGGCCAGGGAGGATAACGCCTGAGGTGGTGCCCGTGGTGGGGGTGGCCAAGAGAGGCTGGAGAGCATAACAATTTGTTGCCAGTTTTGTTGTTTCTGAGCCCCCGGGTGCAAGGAAAGAGCTTGAAAAAAAGCACTCTGATGAGACATCTGTGGACAAGCAGCCAGCTTGAATAGCTCATTGAACAGCTCAATTGGCAAAATCAGTTCTACCGTACAAACCCCTTCCTCTACAACAGAAGCAGCTGGTGCAAGTTTTTTGTAAAGGTGTGTTTCAGTTCGTATCAGGTGAGAGAGTGAGATACTGTATGTAATAGCTCCCAGAAAGAACCAAACTCAAAATGATTAGGAAAGAGCAGGAGCTGTGTTTTCCCCCCTGTTCTGGCCTGTGGGTCCCAGGGAAAGCCTCTTCCAGGCCACGACTCTCCTTGCACAGAAGCTAAAACCAGCAATAGCTTGCTCTTTGTTTGAGGGAAAGTAAACTTCTAAGTAGAAGCCCAGGAACAAATCCTTATTAAAACAAACTTCCTTCTACATGTCCAAGAGTCCTCAAGGAAGGTGGAGGTTTTGTGAAAACGATAGCAATTTAGGAATATACAATGATTAAATGTATAGAAAGAGGCAACATTACCAACTTCTGTCACATCTCCTTTATCCTTAGATTCTAATTGTCACTAACTCAGCATTTCAGTGTAGACTACCAAGCTTGGTCTTCAGCTTTTAAGTGGAATTATGCTTAATAGTTATTGCAGAATGTCTTGTTTTAATGGTCAATACAATGTTATGTATAAATGTTTGTTAATTTAAATGTATAGGAAATGTCAGTCATTTAACCTGACAATAAATTTAAAATATTTCTTTGCAGATTGAAAATACCATGCTGGCCCAGTGTACCAAGCCCAAGAAACAGCAGTGCACTGCAAGATATGGCAAGTACTCCCCTGATGGTGTGAAAAAATACATAAAGGAGATGTTTCCTACTGATTAATCAATAATACCAGTTATTAGTCTTTTCACACTTCACCCTAGCAAATGTCTAACATCAACAGTTGGGAAGCTAGGGTCATATTAGAAATATAGGATGGAGGAGGGTTGTTATTTAGGCAGAGACTGTATACACTTTTTGATTTAATAAAGGTTCTCAGACTTTTTGGAGAATCTTATAGAGCTTATTTAAAGGTTAAAAGGACAAAGCAAAGTTGAATGGGGGGAGTTGGAGTCTAAATAGAGAAATTCAGTTTTTATATCCAGTTAGTTTTCAACAACTAGAACTGATTATTAAGTTACTCAAAATACAAAGTAACACATCATGGCCTGATTCCCCAGGAGTCTCAAGATGGAGGCCATGTATATGGTGTTTTCTGAAATGCATTCCTCACCCTTCAGTCTCTATCCACCTTCAGAGCCATCCCAGGGGTCTGGCTGGTAGTTGGTAGCTGGCTGAGGAGCACCTACTGGTAAACAGGCACCAGGGTTCAGCAGGATGTTCAAATCTTGCCCATGGCTTTCCCATGTGCTTGGTAAGGATACCTGAACTTCAGGACTGAAGAAGCACCTGTAAATCAGCTGTTGGAGGGATGCTGCTGGAGACCATGTTATGAGTAGACTTATTTACATCTTCCTCTCCTTACCTCCCTCCCTCTTAAGCAAATTTCCGCTCCAGTTTTGCTGACATCTGATACTAAAAGTCCTTCCTCTAGGACACCTCAGTTTATCTCACAAGTCTTAGACCACCGGCCATTACATTTTTGGAGCAGGAACTTGTCCTGCTTTCCTTTTTAAATCTCTCTGATTTTTCTGGCAGACATGAACTTAATTTGGCACGCAAGGATCTAGGTTCTTAAGCCAACTTGTGAGCTTTAACAAAGTAGACTTCTGTCTATTTAGTCAAAGATCACACAGAAGCAGGAAGGTACCTGCAAGCCAGACACTGTCCAAATGTAGGACACAGAATGAAATCATCAGCAACAGGACTTCAGAAGACCCTGCCAGGCTGCTGGTAATCAAAGGTTTTGCTGGACATGAGCATTGCTTCCTTCAACAGACCAAGTATGAACTTCATATTCCAGATCAGGATTTCCTTGCTTTCTTTTCTTCCTTTCTCTCACCTAAATGTAGATAAAGAAGCGACTTCAGAGGTAGTATCGATAGTCATCTTGCCAAAGCCATGTAATGCTGAACAAAGCAGGATCACATGTACGAATGTGCAGCTGTCCAAAGTCAGTTTCAAAAATGATGCTGTTAGAAGACTGCAGTTTCGCTATTTTGTTCAGTTAAGGAACTTGATCTGTTTATAAACACCAGGTAACTTCTAGTTCTCAGTGCTGGGACTCAAATGTCCTTCACTGACCACTCCAGTAACTCCACCTAATCCTCTTGCTTATTCTCCACCATGCATTTAGAAAGTGGGGGATCTGCAGATTCAATACTTGTTTGAAGGGAGACTTCTCAAAGGCAAAAAAGGAATCTAGTATGTTCAGCATCTGGGGAACTTCTGCCTTAAAGAAAGTGCAAGACCTGAAGCTGTTTTGATGTACTAATGAGCTTAGGTGGAATTGAATTGCAGGATAGAAGTTCAGCAAGAAAGGAGTAAGAACCAGCAGCCAAAATAACCTAATTGTTTCAAACAATATTTTGCCATTGTGAAGAAGTGCAGGTGAAATACATTGAGTCTCCATGTTATAGAAAGGACAAACAAGTTTTATGAACCAGAGTGTCACTTTGACATAAATATTTTTAAAGCAAAATATACCCATTTAAAATGCATTTAGCTGTTCCTGCAGAGGCAAATCAATTATAAAAGGAAATTAAGCCTGTATTAGTCAAGTCTGGTAAAGAAATACTGTAATGTTGGTAACATGTCAGAAACAGAAAAAACAGATATCAGATAAGGGTTTTGAGGAAAGCAGAAAAAGTTCTGTGGGAGGAGACAGTACAATAAATCAGTTACCAGATATATTGCCTAGGAGTAATCTGATATTATAAACAGTTCATGAAATATGGAGTAAGGTATTTCCCAAATGAGTGCTGTAAAACAGAGGCAAAGATTAAATCTTACTATATTCTGTATATTTATTCTATTTGTAGGTTGTTTCAAGACTGATGCCCATCAGGATAGTTGAGCTATGTAGCAGCTCTTGACAGAAACACATATATAGTCCAGATAGGTGGCAAGAGAATTTGTACTTTAAATCCAAACAGAGTATTCTTTATCACAATCTAAAGCAATGATACATCCCATGGTACAGAGCAGCAGGAGGAACTGGAGGCACTCTGAATTCAGTCAGCACACAGAGACCAGGAAAACGAAATATGGAGACTAACATGGCCTGTCAGTCACCTCATCAGTGTCCTGTTCTTCATGTTTAGACAAGGTTCTTCAAAAATGCTACTTCTTCTTCATCTATTAGTGCCTCTTTCAGACAGAAGCTCGTGTAGAGATTATTTTAGATTTGGTAGGTGTAGAGTTCAGGCTGCTGTTCGTAATAAATATGATAATGGAGGTACATATCACACAGGTCTTTATTCAAAACAGCGCAAAATCTGACCATGCAGAGGTGTCAACTCATCCCACTACATGAGAAAAATAGAGATATTTTGTGCTGATTTCTGAGATTTCAAAGAATAGCATACTCATTTCCAAGTCAGAACAGAAATTGTAAGGAGAAAGAAAATAAAAAACAATACACACTTATTTTTTTCTTGCAAAAGAACCATAACAGTTTAAACAAATTTAGAGCAACTGAGGAGGGGGAAAAAAAAAAAAAAAAAAAAAAAAAAGGGGGAAAAAGTAATCCTAATAGTTATACCAGAGAACATATCATCCTGGCCATAATTTAAAAAATATTATGGCAAAAGTGGGAGAACTCAGCAGAAAGTCTAAGTGGAAAAGAAGGATGTTTGGTGTTACAAACTGTTTTCTGTTTAATCATCCAGAATTTGCAAAAGCTTGTAAGCCAAGGTATAGTTAGGTCACAACAAGGCATTAAGTTGAATAACAAACTGCTTGCAGCAGCTGATAGCTAAAGCTTGTATGAATGCTGTTCAGTTCAGGCTGCTGTCTTTTTATAGTAACACATTTGTTAACTTTTTGAAAGCTGTGCGACTCAGAACAGCACATTGCGAAGCCTACATTTTATCATCACTACATTTTGTCCCAAGCACACATAAAAGTGAGAAAAATTTTGCTTAAATACTAAGGGAGAGGAGAAGATGGTCCTCTGAATTAGGAAAATAAATATTTTCATTCGTGTTTCTAAAACCAATGAAGATGAGATAAAATTGGTTAGCAAATTCTATAGGCAGGTCCAAGCTGCTTGTGTCCTAGCTTTATTCTTTTGTTATTTATTTCAACAAATTGCCAATTTCATTTTGCAAAAGTACGATACTAAAATTATTCTTTCTCTTTGTTTTGTCTTGCAGACTAATTGGAAGCCTGTTTCAAGGTCATTGCTTCAGGCCCTGTCAGACAATGATACCATCAGTCTTTATGTCATAGAGCATGATTCAAAGGCTACTTTGAAGCTAGAACTCTTTACAGATGGTGAAGACAAGTGTGACACTTGCCAGTCAGAAAAACCTAGCAAAACCACAGACATAAGCCTAAGGCATGAAGATATCCCTGAAGAAGCAGTTACAAGTGAAGAAGAAGGAATCATTTCCATTACAGTACCACTCTTGAGTGACTACACCAGCATGGAGTTCAGCCAGAAAGCCCTGATGAGCCTGACAGTGAAGCTGCCTGCAAGAGCTGCTCATCCTCATCTGGAAATGGAGCTAAGCAGTAAGCCAGCACAAACTGAGCATCATGCTTTGTTTGCTCCTCCACAAGACTACCTCAAACAAAGCCAGGTAGTATTTTTGCCATCTGGACCAACTTTGATATGACAAGTGAATTTGAACTGAAACATCTCTATAGTTTCCCATACCATAAGATCAAGTTCTACAACCTCTGATGCTTGAAGCCATTGGGACCATAGAGGACAGTGAGCCTGTGATAATAGTCTCTGCCTTCAGTAAGCTTCCTTGGTGAAATAGATTGATTATATAATAAGATTAGCTTTTTCACCACAGTCATTCTGTGGAAAGCCCTACTGTCTTCACACAGGCCAAACTTCCAGAGAACTGTATGAAAAACCTTCCAGTAAAGTACCTCTTGCTAGGTGCTTAGATCCAGGGCACTCAGGAAGCCATTTCAAGGCTTCTGCTCTACGCACAATGTTGTTCCAGTCATCAGGAGGGTTCGCCAATCAATGTGATGAGTTTAAGACCTGATAAGCTCTTCAGTAAAAATTCCAGCAAAAGTGTCTACTTAGTCTATGACTGCAAAGAAGCTCTCCAGCTGGTCGAAGCTGGCCAAACAAGAGAGTGCAGAGCCTTGAATTTAGGAATAGAAAATGATGCTTATCCATCCATGTAAAGCATTATTAAGTGCTTTACATCTTAGGTCTTTACAACTTTATTCATCATAGATTAATATTGCAGTGTAAATGGAGATGATAATAAGTATTATTAGTAGTACTGGAGTTTTTACTTGCATTAAATTATTTCTTCCCACATTTATCTGCACGTGGAAATCCATTCATGTTCTGTTATGAGATGTAGTTGCAAATATTTCACACTGCATGCAATGATGATACCTGTTGAACAGTCTTCAAGAGCTGAATAGTCCAGTTAGTAATCCCTCCAGAGCTTGCATAGAGGAGTCAGTGGAAAATAGGGTATAAAAGGGTCTTCCTTAAAATACTCTCTATGTGACCCCATCATGTATCTCCATGGTGTAAGGAGTCTGAACTGGCTTTCCAACCTACAACAGCTTTTCACCCATGAATTCTGTACGCATTAATGGTTTGCAGTTATTGTAGAAGACCCATTTTATTGTTGTCTCTAGTTTATGGAGCATTTTACTAAAATTATTTTGAGGAGAAAGAAATTGATCAACTGTACTGTAAGCACTGGAGGCTCCTTAGGTGGACATCGTTTAAAACTCTCTCATTAAAAGTGAAGGACAATTCACATCCACACAAGTATTTCCACACATATTAGGCAGTATGAGTTACAGAAGAGACATGCTTACAAAAAAGCTCAAAGAAATTTCATTGACTGATTTAGTGAAGCCCAATAACAAAACCTGTTTTATTCAATATCCTTATTTATATTCACTCTCTCTTTATTTATATCTCTCTAGGTCTGTTAGGACTGGCAGGAACCAAACTGTATTTCACTGTGGGTTTTGCATTGTTCTTGGCATTTAAAATGCATTGATTTTCCACAAAGCAATGTACTCATTACCACTCACCCTTGTTACTTCTGCTCATTAGAAGAAGGGGTAAGAGGAGCACTCCCCAGACCACCTCAATGGTTTGAGCAGTCTTTTAAATATCTTTCTTTTTAATTTCAATCATGTGACTTTGCCTGATTTGAATTTGAGAGAACAGAAATGATCCTGCTATTGGCAGAGCTGTTGCTACTTGCAATGTCTAGTAGAGGGGCTGAAATGAAAAGCTATTATGGACAATAAAGTCCTCAAAGGATATACAAACATTATCAAGTAGTCCTGTGAACACAGCCTAATTTGTCCAATTACCAAATATAAGAAAAATCCATGCTCCTTACCTATAATATTTCTTTTTATTTCTGGTCAGAGCAATTTATTTTCCTGGGGCACTTGATACCTTCAATAACGTATTCATCCCTATAAACATTGAATTAACTTTTTCTTACTCTGCACCTACCAAACCAGTGCCTATTATTATGTTAGGTATAAAGTAAATGAGTAGAATCAAACCAATGGTTTGTGAGCAGTTTCGGTACATGAAGCAGCCTTCATACATGAAACTCAAAAGACAGTTTGGGCTTTTGACTCAGGGAGGATTGCCTCCATGATACTAGCCATTCCCTGACATCTTGAAAAGGAAAATCCATTTATCAGGTCAGGAGAATTTCCCTATAAGTACATGTGAACCTACTTGCCTCAAATAGAAAGAACATATGTATTCCACTTTCAGTTATAAAACTCACAGTATATGTGATTCTTAATTGATCTCATTAGAGCAATACTTGTATAATGGCTGTAAATTGTACATTTGGGAGAACGAGAGAGATACATGAAAAATTCTGGTATGGAGATTAGATATAAATGAAGAGCTCATCCCATCATGATGTATCCATTGAAAGCAAAGAAAGAACCTTATATGTGGAGAGAAATAGAAGAGTTCACTTGCTAACCAGTTTCATCCAGACAAAAAGGAGGCTTTGGTGGAATAATGTAGCTACTCAGGGACACTGGACTAGGAGACACATAGTGCTCAGGTCTTTAGATTAGGGGCAGCTAGTTTTTTGTAGTTTTCTTTTTCTTCGATTCTTTTATGGGAATTTTTAGTTCAATTGCAAGAGACCTACAATGACCATCTACTACTGCCTGACCTCTTCAGGCAGCTTTAAAAATTGTGTGCATATACAGATGTATAATGACTGCAGAAGCCTACCTCTCCTAATAAATGTGTAAGATATTTCATGTGCTTAAGTATTGTTTAAGTGTTTCAGCAGTGTTCTTAGCTTCAGTATTCTTAGTTTTGATATGTTAAGAGTAAAATTGAAAATATGAAGGCTTAGGACCGTAATACCCAAGGGATTTAAAAATAATCTTTAAATTTTTCTTTTCCCGGCCCACATAGCTCTAGATGACCACTGTTAGCATTAGTGAGAATTTAGACATTGTAAAAGTTTAGACACTTAACTGTAGGCATGGAGGCACATAAGCATAGTGATTTATATCATAGGGTACTATGGGGTATTATACTGCAGGGTTACAGTGTTTTAGCATTTTATATTTACAGAGTAAGGAATGCAATATTCATTCTCTAACATAGCCTCTAAAAACATGCACAAGTGCACAAAGCCAAATTAGTACATACCTATTTTTTTCTGGTATCCAGAGTAGATGTTTTTTCTTGAATACTTGATGTAGTATGGATATAGATTTTTTTTTTACACTTTTTTTTTTTACACTTAAAGTCAGACTTACATTGCAGTAGCCAGACAGCACTAAAAATCATCAGTGTTTCAGAGACAAGATACACAACTACTCAGTCTTGAACAGGAGATTGCAGCAACCACAGTATTCCAGAGGTTTTTTTCACTCTGTATTAACTACCAAAAAGAATAACTACAGAATATCTACAGATGCCCTAAAAACCTAAGTCTTTGGGATTTTTTGGCAACCTTAAAAGCCACCTTTATGGCACAATGGCATCTGCAATTGAGCAGTCCTCCTGAAAGCAGAGAGCACAGGGGTATCCTGTCAATCTGAGTCAACCCCCAGCTACAAAAACTGTAAAATAATGAAGGCCTTCATTAAAGTCCTCTACTTACAGAAGATACTTGTTTCAGAGCTCTGGACTCTGTGTCACAGGCTCTTGGTTTGCCTTTTTCCCTCTCTCTTAATGGCACTGTGTGTCTACTGCCTGAATGATGTTAACTGTGTCATGGTGCTGCATTGATAAGATCTGTACGAACCTGGGTAATAAAACTCAGGACAGCTTACATCAGTCACTTATGAGCACTGTTTACAGAAGACTCTGCTACGACAAATCACTTCATGTCAATGGGGGGGAATAATCTTATGCCCATATCTATTTTATTTCTACAGCAGAAGCACCGGTTTGATTAATAAAACTGAAAACAACTTGTTGTGCTAGAGATGGTCATTCACATCGCCCATCCTGAGAGACCTCTTCAGTGCTTCATATAATCATAGAACAGAATCACAGAATCATTTAGTTTGGAAAAGACCCTTTAAGATCATGGAGTCTTACCACAAACTTAACGCTGCCAAGTCCACCACTAAACCATGGCCCTAAACACTGTATCTACACATCTTTTAAGCACCTCCAAGGATGGCGAATCAACCACTTCCCTGGGAAGCCTGTTCCAACACCTGATAACTCTTTTCAGTGAAGAAATTTTTCCCCATACCCAATTTAAATCTCTCCTGGCACAACTAGAAGCTGTATCCTCTTGTCCTATCATTTGTTACTTGGGAGGAGACTGACACCCACCTCGCTACAACCTCCTTTCAGACAGTTGTAGAGCGCAACAAGGTCTCTCCTGAGTCTCCTTTTCTCCAGGCTAAACAACCCCATTTCCCCCAGCTGCTCCTCGTAAGACTTGTTCTCCACCTTCCTTGCAGAAAGCCCTCCCTGGACCAGAGCAGAAGCTGTACAGAAACAAACTAACCAAGGAAGTAATCTGGATTTGTTGTAGTGGTAGACAGAGCCAGGACAAAGGAAAATCCTGAGCAGTGATAGACACAGCAACAGCCAGCAATGACAGGAAACTTGTGATGATATGGGTTCAGGTCCTTACTGGAGACACTGGAGTCCAGGCAGCCTGGAGAGTAGTAGACATGTTACTTTACCCGAATGCATGAATAGCAGGTGACTTTTCCAAGACTCATTTATCAAGGAACACAGGAAGTTGTGGATATAAGGTGTCTCATTCATACCTTTTCCATTGTATGCGATTACAAGCCAACCACTTTATCCCATGACAGCCTAAGTGAGCTCTCCCTGCTAGGCAGTGTGGCTGCATGGTGGTGATCTCCCCTTGAGCTGGGATGCCTCTCAAGGCAGAGAGACCTTTTGCCAACGACAAATCACTGGAAGAGCCCAATTCAAGTTCTCCCTGGACAGCAACTGGACTGCCTGCCAGGTGACTCTCCCTCCTAGCAGTGCTGTCTCTCAAGGTTTGAGATTCCTTACCTGAGACTAAGACATTCTTCCTTACCAAGGTGGAGAGACCCTTTATTTGCACCACATCCTTGGTAAGTGACTGACCGCACGTGGAATTAATGCTAATGAAATCTATGTGTCTTACACCATTGGATATAAAACACTGACCAAGTCTGGGACTAAGTCTGGATCCAGCTGCACCTAGACTCCTCCTTGAGAAGTTTAGAAAGCAAGGGGGTCCACTCTGAACCTTGTGACTCAATGGCAGGTTCTCCTTTACCCTTTTGCATCTTCAGTCTCCTTGTAAATCATTCTAGCTCGACTATAACTCAATTTTCCTTTGCATGTTTCCTTCATGTAGTAAGTACTGTCAGCAGTCGCACTGTGATCAAAAAGCAAGAACACCATGAGCTTTCTGGAAAGTTGGTGTTAAAGGTTATCAAATCACAGTGGTAAAGCCAAGTTTCTGTATAAGCCCAAAATCAGCATCCTGTCTAAGTACTCATCTAACACCAGGGCCTCATTGCAAACTACGTTCATTCCTCTATCTCACACTGCAACCAACCCACACATGCAGTCCTCTTTAACCTGTGCAGCTATTAATCCTTCATGATCTACACATCTGGTCTTCCACTTCATCTCACCTCAATTCATAGTTATAGTACACCAGCTCACACCTTCACAATACCAAAAAGGAACAGCGAGACTGAGTTATACAGCTTTCACACCCCCACCCCCAAACCCCTCCTCCACCTGAATGTTGTCAGCTTTCAATTAGCCAAGCACCAAGGAGCAGCAACAGTTTACATGGTATAAATAATCATATTATCACAGCCAGAGACGTTTGATTACTAATGTTAGGCATTTTACATCTCCTGTGTATGCCTGTATGTCAGAAAATTAATCAACAGTGGAATGAGCAGGCTTATACAGTTGCTCACCCTTTATGCTCTTCTAAACTTGGGGGAAATGGGACAGGAATGATGCTTGACTGCTTTTATAAAGCACTTGAGAACTGTGATCTGGAAGGCTGATATAGCCTCTAAAGTAATAATTTTTGCCTTTATGCTCCTTATAGATCTCTATTCATCCCTCTCTATGAAGAGCATAAAAGCAAAAATTTCTTATAGGTAGAGGACGACACAGAAGCCATGAAACATGAACACTTCAAAAGGGATATACTACTCTTTCCAACTGCAGTTATGAGCTACTACTGGAATAGTTACACATCTGACATAAGAAAAGAAAGTTCTTAAATAAAAGAAGTAGGAATTTTATGCTTTATTGTCACTTACTGAATTACTACTGTCCTTACCACTATAAATTACCCCAGGTAAAAATGATCAAAGGGAATCTGATTTATCAGAATTAATTATGTAATATTTGGCTACCATCTTTCATCTAGCCATAAAAGCACAGTGAATGCCCATTTCCAATGCATTCAGTGCAATGCAATGACCCAAGTCTAACACTTTCTTCCATCAAAAGATTCTGAAGTATACTTTAAACCAATGAATTCAGCACTGCCACACTTTGGTTGAACAAAGTATTGGAAGTCCTATTATAAAATCAGAAGAATGAAGAACAGAGTATTTCAGTGACTTATTGTGTGTCCCACAATATCTAAGAAATGGCACTGTCAGGCTCATACCATAAACATACAGCTGTCACCTTTCCACCTTCTTTGGAGATTAAGCAACAGAACAGACATACCACAGCTCTATCTTGAACAGATCAAAGGATGTCCTTGCTGATACAAATAAAACTTGGATGGAACAAGGAACACCTTACAATTAAGAAGACAAATATGCAATCAACACCGTTCGTAGAAGCTGCCCCTTTTCTCTGCATCCCAATAAACTCTTTAACAGCACATCTACCCAAAAACCTCCAGCTACAGTAGGATTTAACTGGGCACACCAAACCAACCAAGAAGGACTGCATGTTTGTTCCTGGTTAATAGATACCATCTCATAACATCTTTCCGGTTATTCTGTATTATGGTCCATTCAGAAATACTGATCATTTTGCTTAAGACTAATCTGTAACATGGGTTAGTATGATTTACAACATGGTTCAGGCAAGTCTAGTCCTTACTAGATACCTAGTTTTGACAATACCAGGCAGGATGGCTGCAACGCGTAAGAGTGAGTTTGCATGCTTGTGAGGAAACCAGCAAGCTAGTAGAAAGACAAGTATTTAACAGCTCAGAAGACTTACTAAACATGACTTAGGAAAATAAGAATAGTATCCCCTTAAAATTGAACAAAGCAGAGGAGCAATTATGGAATGTTACCTCACCACAGTGAGATTCAAATCCAGTGAAAGTAGATGATTATAATTTGTTTAATGTTCACATTTCATGTGGACCAACACATTTGCTTTGAACTTCTAAATCCAGTAATCTGAATCAACCCTTTAAAATATTACTTCAGTAAAAATTAAAGGTTTTCTTTCTATTTATAAAGAGAAATGTAAGAGTTGTTGAGAGAAAAACAGAAGCACAGTCTTTGCCAGGTCTGATACTGAAGCAGCACACTTAACAAAAGACTAGTACCGACACTCATGTCTGCCTGTTTTCTTAAAACAAGCAGGCAAAACAAGCCATGTACACAAAAAAAAAAAATTGAAAAGACTGTCAATCACCTCTAAAAAGAATTTATTTTTAGTGAGTTCTTAAGGAAATTAAGTAGTATATAATATAAATATGTAATCTATGATTTTGAACCATTGCTAACATCTCAGTGTGTTTCTCAGATCTGTTTTTCCCTTTTACATTCAGAGAAGCAGCATGGTGAAATGCAGTTATCTATACCACAGATGTGTTGACTAAATCATCTGATCAGTAAGAGTTAAACCAGTCACAAGTCTTATTACAGGCATGATTGCTCTAAAAAAATCACAAGATCCCTACTGAGCATGTTAAAGTGTTGAGAAGCAATCTCCTACTTCTGCTCCTTAATCACTGCTGTTTATTTAGATTCTTATACATTATAAAAAGCAACAGAGAAGCACTGAAAACAGTGAATTTTAATATTAAATTATCCATGACAATGAACTGACATGTACTGTTAATGTCAGAATCTCTGCACAAACTCCCGACACTACTTTAAAAAAGAAAAGAAAGGAATTTTGACATACATTTCTCTATAACCACATTTATTAACTTTCTGTTTGAAAATTACAAGCTCTCCCTTGTGGAACTAAGGTAGTTTTCTCTAGAGAAAATCCCCTGCTCAGCTCAGGTATTGGGAATCCTCTTCTGTAACTAACAGTGATGATACATTCAGTTATTTAACCCCTCACCACCTTTCCTCTAATATTCCTGTCAGTATCAGTCCAAAACTTAGCTATGAAGCACTTGGCACTCTAGGGCACATGTAGCCTAAAGGAAAAAAAAGAGGGAGAAAGACAGAATTGCTTCACAGCCATTTGCTGTTATCTCATCCAAATTTAGTGGAAGTGAGTTTATGACACCATTAAAACTTTGGGACATTATTTATTTGCAAAAATAACAACAACATAATAGCACTTGACATTTATTTACTTGTACCATTTCATAGTTGCTTCATTAATGCAAAAATATACTTTACCAACATGGAACAGGTTGTATGTTTATTAAACTTAGATGACCTACTTTATTACCAGAAATATCAAACCCAGAGAAGGGAAATAATATTTTCACTGCTGTAGTGCTTAAGTTCCCCAGGTATATCTGAACCCAGACTGTGAAAGGTGCTGTGTTTAGCACATTAGTCACAGCTCCTGTAACAGTGGGAAAACCACCAGAAAGCATCTACTGAAAAATTACATGAACTGTGCACATCAGGTTACTTTCTTGATGTTGCCAGAGCAGATCACTCATTCCCTTGAGTAGATTATTATGAAAATTATGTATTTATGAGGTAGCAATTTTGAAGTGGCCCATGATTTACTCATCAGTGCAGCAGTAGTTCTAAATCTTTGCACTAAGGAAAGTTTTACTGAGTAGAGCAACAACTTCTAAGAAAGCTAGGCAACCTCATTAATGACATCAAGGACTGAGTGAAAGGAAGATGAAATTATTCTTTTACCATTACTGATAGGTCTTTCAGGTCAAAAAAGACACATGTAGCCTTTTAAATGGGAGAAGAATAATTTCATTGACAAGATTAGTACGGAACATACTCTGTACATTAAAACACTCTAGTCTTATGTCAAATTCGGCATGAGATTAACATAAAAAATGTGATGAATTTAAAAGTGTAGTCTGAAACTTTCCAGAAGAAAAAAACCCTCATTTTTGTTGTCCATGTTTTCCTGTTAAGCTCAACAATCATAAATGTCATGACAATTTTTTAAAATAATTTTTGCCCTCAAGGATAGTAAGAGTTCATAGTTTCAGAAAACACTGTGAAAAGTGAATTCATAGATAGCTTCTCAACTGTAGCATTTAGTTAACACAATACAGAATTGAAGTGTTAGAGCCGTGTCTCCTCAAACTAAGGGGAAAACAGTTGCCTCCACATATTGTCATACAAGTTTATTAAGCTGTTTTAAATTGAAGAGAATACAGAAGAAATCCCCATACAAACATGCTCAGATTCTGCAACAGGACTTACCTACAATTGAAGCATTCCTGAATTTGAAATAAACACTGCCTGCAAAGACATTTTTTAAAAGTTTAAACACAACTGAGTGTATTTCTCTTACACAAAAAAAAAAAAAAATCCCCTTTTGTACAGTGCTTTTCGTTTTCAATATTATTTTAATTACATTTTTCAACATATAAAAATAAACCTAAGGTACAGGCTCAAAACTTTTTTTCTGTTTACATGTTAGCAAACAAAATTAAGTTTTAGATTCTCGTTAGGTAATAACACCTAATGGTATCTACAAATTTCAACTGTCCACACACCAGTCTCTGGTGAGAAAACTCCATCTCTCTGAACTAAGCACCTACTGATCTACATTATTTTAGCTGTTTACAGATCTCAGCATTTGTGTTGCTAAGTCCAATTCTTACTTTTAAAATTATGGTAACACCAAACTCAATCATCAAGTGCTATAAAAGTACCACCAAGTGGCAGGCTGAACCATAATATGCCCCAGTTTGCAAGTCACTGTTCAGAATTCATATATTTAAGATTATTTAACCATAATAATGCAAATTTCATACTAACATTTACAAAATTGAAGATTATTTTTGTCTGGGTTTTTTTCTTCCTCTAAGTGAATGGTTACCAAAATTAAAATACATGAACTCTAGACTTGTTTCATTACAAACTAACAAAAAGAAAGGGATGTAGAATGCTTCAGACCTAAAGGTAAAAGATATACACATCACTATGGTATTACTGCTTGCAACAGTCATACATGTGAATGAAAAAAATAACACAGTAATATGGACAGGTATGAAGTATACAATAATTTGTATTACACAAAGAAGCCTTTACTTATTATCTCTTTCTTAGACCAAAAGAAAATCACAGAAATTCCTACATCTAATAACTATTACAAAATACCAGTACAAGCTAAGAGTAACACAGAGAAGCTACCGTGTAACAAACAGATTCGCAGAGTTTCAAAGTAATTTAAGGTATTGCCTTAGATAAAACTGGGCCACAGAACACTAGCAGAGCAATGCAATGCATGCTACAGACTACAGTATTGACCTTCTTTGCAGCAAACACACTCAAGTGACCACAGCTCATTTCAGAATCCAAGCTGTGCATAGGTTGCTGCTGTTAAGGCAGCTAACGTAAAGCTAGCTCAGATGCAATTATCAGAAATTGCCATCAAAAAAATTTGCAGGTGACTAATGAGTGAACAGAACCCACATCTCACTGATTTCTCAGGAGTTCTTCAGATGTCCCTGGTTTCTAACTGAAGTGCTTTTTTCTCCTCTTAGTTCTAATTCTGAAATATGAAAAACAGTATTCTCTACGTACCCTACTACTATCAGTGTTCACAAACAAAATTTCATCCCTCACACCCGTGTAAACCTATTGACTTTGATGTATTTATCTAAGTCACAGCCACTTCTATTTTGAGCTTAGAATCCTGTTTCATCCACCAGCAGCTGTCTTCTGTTACCTTCTTTCAAAAGACAAAGAAAAATCCTATCTGTTACCCAGAAACACTGTTGTGAAATAACTGTGGTCACTAATGGAAGCTTACGCATATATGCTTTATATGGTCTTAGCAAAATGGCACCATGTCACCACTTTTCTGAGCAACTACAAGTCACAACATTTTGAAATAAAGGCTGACCCAAATGAAGCTACATTTAGAACAATACAGCTACCATGAACTACACTGCTCTCAAAACCTCCACTCAATTTAATCTCATTTATAAAGTGCAAAACCCAGCAATTTGACATGGTAGCTCAGCATGCAAACTTGTTGATGATGAAGGCAGTGGACTTCCAGTGGTAAATGGACCTATTTAATGGATGATGCACACAGTCTTGTTGGAGCAAGCAAGAACTTCATTACTGTGCTACACTACCAGTTTAAAAATGACCTGCTCTCTGCAGAGATAGGCATTTTACAGAATGATAGTTCTCTAGTAGTGTGGCTCTTTAGGAAGAGGGGAACTGTGAAACACCTCATATGAACAGACAGAACTTAACCACCTCACAGATTTGCACAGTATTTACAAAGCAAAACCAGAAAATACAGCATTATTAAGAAAATATGACTTGAGGTGGGGAGGAAATGTGTGTCTGATGGTTGGTTGTTTTGGGGTTTTTTTGCCTTACAAGATCCCAACTTTTTATCAGGGAACCACTGATTCACATACAATGTAACAATGGGCTGCATAGGGACTTACACATGATAAGTTAGCTAGTAACTTCCAAAGGCATGGTTTTTAGCTAACTGTACCCAACCCTTTACATATTCTTTAACTGATACATAATAGAACTATGCTATTTCAGGGTAACAAAACTCAAGAAATAAAACTCGTATCAGCTGAAACACGATAAATTGCAAGAATTCGAATTCCTCCCAAAGGAGTAACTTAGCTTTTCAAAGATATTATAAATAATACATGTATATTTTCACTTGCATCCACACTTCAAATCAAAGAAGCTACATGTGTAAGACCAGATGAACTAAAAATATTCCTTTAATAAGTATGTACCAGCAGAAACTTCCCTCTGAAATACTTATTTTATTAGTGAAATGGTACCAAAGATAACAAGTATACAAACAATCTCTTTGCTCTATGCTACTTGCACATCATAAATAAGACAGCTGTTGTTTCAAGACACTATCCTTCACAGTCTTCCTGTAAGCATACAGATTTGTCATTCTTTTATCAGAATAAGCTGTTTATCAGCCAACAGCATGTGGCTTAAACATCACAAAAATGACTGTCTATACTTTACATGGTAAAGCATCTTCTATAGTCTTAAATGTACACAGTGGCAAGAACATCAAAACCTATCCAAAATGAAGAGTGATTAAGCAGCTTCACAATCAAACTGGGTTTAATTACCTTAGGAATTGGGCAAATTTTTCACTCCCTGTAATATGCCTTCCCCACCCCGGAATAATTAACTATGCAAAGGAAAACAAATTGAAAGCAAATAGCTAATATGATATTAAGTTTGGGTTTTTTTTAACTGAAAGAAGTAACTCTTCCCATGAGGTAAGGCAATTAAGTCATTTGATTGTATTAAGTTATATTAAAAATAATCTACTCGATTTTAGGTATACATAAGTTTTAAAGGTATGACTCTTAGGAAATCTCATGTAACTGACTGATTTAGTTCAGAGAACACAAGCCATATTTTACCTTGACAAAAATATTTGCCTTGTCATTCTCTTCTGACATGCTTTCTCCCCCAAGAACGAAAAAAGAATCTCTACCGTATAACTCCTGTGTAAATTAGAATTTTTTCCCCAAATTACTTATCCCCTCTTCTTTGCATACATCTCCTTTTATATCACCCAACAGGTACCACATAAGATGATGGAGAGGTAACAATTAAGGCCATCCAAATGTAGATTAAATGTCTAAAGGGCTGTCTTTGATGCAGGTGATCAGAAAATGCTTTGTATTCAGCTACTTTTGTACAGTGGTGGTCCCCAAACTGCATTTTTGTTTTCAACTCTAAGTCTCTTCTAAAAATAAAAAAGTGAAAATGGAGCTTTAGTATTTTAACAAGTGAATCAAACAACCGTTCTGATGAATCACTTGCATTCTTGTCTACAGTATGGTGGTGGCAAAATAGCAATAGAGTTCATTTACGATTTAGCTGAAGATGAGTAATAGCACATATACATTTCTATAAAATACCACATTTTAAGAAGGCACTAAAGCTTCTGCTTGTGCTCCCATATTTTTTTAAACAAATAAGAAAAAATTATTTTCATAATGGCACCTGTACTATTTGCAGCTGAACAGACACACTGCATTACGGCTCAAAACAAAGCTGTAAGTTCTGATAATATCATACAGATGTGCTCACTTCTAGAAGGACAAAAGAAAACAACAAAACAAAACAACCCCAAAATAACCCAGTAAGCTAACCTATTATCTATAACATGGCAATGTTCCTTTTAGGAACAGAAAAATAGCATGCATTGTTCAAATACTTTAAAAGAAATACTAATTTTAGGGATATTAGTAAGAAATTCTTTTAAATAACAAAGCCCAAGAATCTCAAGCCTCGAGCAAATGAAAAACATACTAGCCAGTGGGTATTTAATAAAAGAACCACAAAACTGTGTTTAGAAAACCCTTCCTTACAGTTGTCATTTACAACAAAGAAAGTGTGTATATTTATGCACCAGTTCCAAGCACATTGAACAGTATACACTGAAGTTTTTGTGGATTTTCTAACCCACAAGTTAATACAAAATTCATCAACAAGCAGTTTTTAGAACAACCTTCAATGCATATCTTCAGCTTTTTTTGGATAGTACAGGTTTACATTTTTCAGTTTCTACTTTTTTGTAACAGCTTATGGCAAAACATAACCTAAATAATTTTACAAATAAGTACAGCCATCATGGAAATGTATGCATTTTCAGATATGAATAGTTCTGATGGCATCTGCCTTTTCATGGTGTAACTACTAGTCCGTGCTCTCTTGCTTTACAGCAAGAAGACAACAAAGCTATAACAAGAATTGGAAGAGCTACTAGTACTATCAACACGTTCAGGTTGATTGCTTTGACATTTTCTTCCTCAGCCTGGGAAATAAAAAACTTTGGATTTCATTCCTTAGTTGCACTAGTCCATTCTTTGCTCTAATCCTCTTCCATTTTAATTGAGAGGTTTTCTTCATTTGGTTGACAGTTCCCATTCTGTTGTAGTTTGACTTCATCTGTCCTTTGTGTATCTCTGTTGTCTACCTCCTTGTCAGTTTCTGAATTCTGATCCTCTTTAGCGTGATCTTTCTCCTACCAAAGATAAAATTACTTTACAAAAAAATCATATTCTTAGTGTTATAGGATATGACTTCCAACCAACTCTTAGTATTTTTATTGTCTCAATTTTTACATGTCTACCTTGTCTCGGCATTTTTTAGAACAGAGGTGTCACTTCCTTCTTGGGTTTGGTTTTTGTGTGGTTTTTTTTGTTTGTTTGTTTGTTTTTTGTTTGGGTTTGTTTTTTTTTTTTTTTTTAGAAAAAGCTTTCTTTTCTATTGGCTGAAATTAAGCACTCATAACAACCTGTCATCCAAGAAATCATTGCCATAAAGTGATCTGTCTTTATCATCAATATGCAGAAAAAACAGAACAAGCACCATCATGGAACCTATGAGAAACAGCTTCAGAAATTAAGATTTCAGAATATTTTCTAAATAAAATAGGATTACATTTTTTCTTTCATATTTTTTGTTAAGTATCTGATGCAGTTTAAGAGAGTTCTTTGGTAAGATAATTACTTAAGCTTGTAGACAGTCACCTAACCAGCTGTTTTATAACAGTTGAATAATTCTGAGTTCAATAAACTACTCTCTAAAGACATGCTGCTTTTCAAATTCCAATACTGAACAATTTGAAGATGTTTATTTTCTTAATCATACCACCTTCTATTTTCCAGTGGAAAATCCCGTAACACTCTTCCCCTACTCTTCAACTTTATGCCTGCATAGTCCAATACACAGACCAACACCAAAGCAACCAGGGAGAAGCTGAACTGAAGGTTTATTAAAAAAGTAATCTTTTCAACTTGACAGCCAAGCTGTCCCTGAATGCTGCTCCTTAGTTACACAGTCTGCTTCCTGCCTGCTCCTACAGATCGGCAGCCAGACAAGTTCTAACATATGGCACAGAACAGCAAAGAGAAACAAAGTGTTTCCATAACCTATTCACATAAGCTCCTATAGGTCCAGTAAAGTTCAAATATGGAGTCTTATCCAACTGGCCCACTAACACCAACTGTAGGTCTCTATCTGGCAAAAGCTAAACCCAAATGGTAATAATTTGGTATGGAACACAAACAAAAAAGAAGGGAGGAGGAAATGAAAGAAAAAGAAGGGAGGGAATTTCAAGAATGACTCCACTGGCACCACTTAACTCTGCTTATCACTTGGTCATGTAGCTTACCTTCAAAGTAGTGGTGCTTTTGTCAGATTTCTCCTTTCCTTCTTTTTCTTTACTACTTTTTTTCTTGGAGGTGGAGCGTTCTCTTCTTTCATTATTTGCTTCTCTTTCTCTTTTTTTTTCTTTCTTGTTTCTGTTTAATAAAATTTTTAGTCAAATCAGAATTTGATCCAACAGTAATAATCTTCAAATGACTTAACTGCAAACTAAACTCTCATCTGTGGGTTTTCAAAAAAAATTCCAAAATGTAACAAAACCCCCTTCATAAAGACAAGGGGATTTTTTTGTCTGAAGAGAGCTAAACAATGCACGTGTTCAGTACAAATGGTATTTGCAAAAAAGTAGCTGAATTAAGCTGTATCCAGTTAAGAGCTTTTATTGATTTGAAGCAAATTTGCATTGTTGATAGATTTGAAACTCTCTAGTTTAAAGCATACCAAAGCTCAAATCCATGAAGGTTTTTGGTTTGGTTTGGTTTTGCTTTAAATTAAAACTGAATCATACTGACCAAATGAAATCATCTGGGATGATCATTGCAAAGGCAGTAAAGCAATGAAAATACTACGAATTCTTCCTCCTTTACTGCTCCTTAACTTTTATGTTTACATCAAACTGACCTTCTTGGAGAAGGAGATCGTGAAGACTTTCTTTTTGTTGTTTTGGATGTTTTAGGAGACTTGGAGGGACTTCTACTCTTCCTTTTACGCCTTTCTCTACAGGACCAAGAAATTCAAGATCATTAAAGAATAAACTCAGGAACCAGATAAAAACAGAAAGCTCTTAAAATGATCTGACACAAATACTAAGTAAATATCCCTGAATTTAACATTATATATCACCAACAATATATGAACGGGACAAAGCAAAACAAAATTCTCCTACGTTTCAGTTTGGTGGGAAAGGGAAGGTTGGAGGTGGGGAAAGAAAAAGTTGTGCCATTTCAGATTTTAGTTTCTGTTTATCTTAACATGCTTGTACTTATACCCGGTAACAGTGGAAACACACTGAGTTCACTAATCCTGTATTAAGCAAGTCTATTCAGTCAGGAAAATAATCCCATTGAATGAAGAGCCACATTAAAACAAAAAGCATAACTTGAGCAATACAAATTTCAAAATGTAACATTAGAACCTGAAGTTCACTGTCATTTCAGTTCAGCCCGACTGAAGTTCAATTCCTAAATCCATCAACTAGCATCCCTATTGCTTTAGAAGCAACAGTGCAAAGTGAAGCTCAAGCTCTTGTCCAAATTATAATAAGTAAGCTAATTTTCCTAGCAGTCCTTGCACAGCAAACAGAATGTTACTATTCTGTAACATACCAAAGTACTCACAGTATTTTACAAGACAGCTGTTTTACACAGATATATGGAGTTTGCTAAAGTTGCTATTATGGAGTCTGATCTTGAATAGAACAAAACATTAAATAACTGATTACAAACATAGTGAGGCACATGTTAAAGCAAAATATGAGCCAGTAAAGCTTCGTTCAACATAAACATAGAACCCATCTCTTGTCAAAGTAAGATGATTTTTCCCTATCACCTCTTCACAGAACAGGAAAAGCAGACAGGAAGAAAAAATTAAAGGAAAACAGGGAAGTTAAAGACTAATTGAGAGGGCACTTGAAGATATGGCACAAAAGCTACTTATGCATACCGTTTTTTGCAATTCATACCACTAGGTATGAATACTCATATCTTCAGTATTTAGAAAGGCTAAGAAATCAACAGTTAATAGATAAATTACAAAAGAGTCTATTAAGATATGCCTAAAATCACTATCTGGATTAATACTCTGACAGTATCATCTACTGTGACTTCCTGAAGCTGCATAGGACAAAATTTCTGAACTATTTTGTTCAACAAGCTCTTAAGTTTGATTCGATCTTTGGTAAACAAAAATATAAAGTGGCCTCAAAATCACGGAGAAAATAACACAATCACTGAACAACTGTTCACTAGTTAACATGCATCTAATTTTTAACTTCTTCACACTTACCATCACCTTTTTTCAAATGAGGATACTGGAAATTGATATATTATTCTGACAGTGCTCCTACTTGGGCTACACCAAGTACATCCCCACTTTATTTTGCTTTCCAGCATACACAGCTGTGAGTAACCAAATGCCTTACCAACTTTATTCAAACTAGAAACTGTTTATTCATGAAATCTAATTTTCAGTTTCTGCTTTTCATATTTCAAGTTGAAGAACTACAACTGTGTCTGACAGTATTTGTCCCATCTCTACTACGTTTGTCCATACAAAGATTTTTGTGCACCTGATTAACACCTGTAAGCAATACTGATGCAGCAAAATTTAAGAAAAAAGAGGTTTGAATACTTCAGTTGTGATCCTGTGTTTCTTAATCATACGCAGAACTAACATCCTGTACCTATCTCCTCTGCTAGCCTATAGATGACTGTTGGAAAAGGAGCCAGATCTTCCTCTTCCTCTGGTCCGTGACTCTTCCTTCAGCTAGGAATCACAAATAACCATCTGATTTCTACTGCTTGCATGCTGTCTGCCAATAAAGCAAGGTCAGTTGACACCCAGTTCTTAAAGGGTCCTGCACATCCTATTCCACCTTCACCTCTTCTACAAAAAGATGACTATTTGTCCAATATTTTATACTCATCAGGTAAAGGATCAGCAGTCCCAACTCAGTGCTGCACTGTAAATCCAGGCAGCTGAAATGCCAGTTTGTTAGATAATCTTACCCAGAAAGGTTTATAACCATTTCAACTAGGCAACGTCAACTCACCAAAATAAACAGATGCCCCTAAATGCAAGCTAACTGGGACTCTGTAGACCAAGCTATTCACAAATACCTTTCAGAGATTAACAGAATTACTGACGTTGGAAGAGTCCTCTGGAGATCAGAGTCCAAACTCTCCCTCCCCCACCTTAAAACAGTCAAATAGAGCAGGTTATTCATGGCCACATCCAGCCAGATTTCTAGTATCAACATGAATGAAGATTCCACAGTCTCTCAGGGTAACTCATTCCAGCTTGCTCAGAAAAAAACCTTAATTTAAACATTTGAAAAAAGCCTTTATTTCCCATATGTCAGTATGCGCATACTGCCTCTTAGCCTGTCACTGACCCCCACTGAGAATTCTGCCTCTGTCTTCTTCACACTCTCCCATCAGGTTATTCATATACATTGGTAAAACGCCCCTTCAGCCTTCAGGCTAAAGAATCCCAGCTCCCTCAGTCTCTGCTTGTATGACAGATGCTCGAAGCCCATTACCAGTTTCATGACCCTTCACTGGACTCCCTCCAGTATGTCTGGGTGTTTCTTGTAATGGGGAGCCCAGAATTGGACACAGCATTCCAGACGTGGCCTCACCAGTGCTGAGGAGAAGTAAATAATCACCTTCCTTGACCTGCTCACAACACTCTGCCTAATGCAGCTCAGCATACTGCTGGCCTTCTTGGCTGCAAGGACCCCCAGGTCTTTTTCTGCCAGCCAGCCTTCCAGCCAGTTAGCTCCTAAGGTGTATTGGTGCAATGGAGTTATATCTGCCCAGGTGCAGAACTTGGTCTTTCTCTTTGTTCAACTCCATGAGATACCTGTTAGCCCATTTTTCCTGTCTGTAGAGGTTTCTTTGAATGGCAGCACACTCCTCTGGTGTACCAGCCTCTGCCCTCAGTTCTGTACTGTCTGTGAACTTGCTGAGGGTGCACTCTGTCCCACTGTCTAGACCACTGATGAAGATATTCAACAGCACTGGCCCCAGTATTGATACTCTAAGGATAATGCTGTATCTGAAGAAAGAATTGTAAATTTATGTGAAAAGGTGTATTGCTTTCATCCTCCATCTTCAAAAGCACATTGTCCTTGTTTAGTAACATCCATATTAAAAAATTAACTTCATATCAAAGTAAGGTTTGGTATTGTGAGTCCATTAGAAGAGATGCACTAATTTTCACTACAATTCTTTACCAAAATGGTATCATAGAACGGTTTGGGTTGGAAGGGACCTTAAAGACCATCTAGCTCCAACCCCCTGCCACGGGCAGGGACACCTTCCCCCAGACCAGGTTGCTCACAGCCCTGTCCAGCCTGGCCTTGAACCCTTCCAGGGAGGGGGCAGCCACAGCTGCTCTGGGCACCCTGTGCCAGGGACTCACCACCCTCACAGGAAAGAATTTCTTCCTTATCACTAATCTAAATCTACTCTTTTTTGGTTTAAAAACGTTACCCCTCGTCCCATCCCTACACTCCCTGATGAAGAGTCCCTCCCTACCTTTCCTGTAGCCCCCTCTAAGGACTGGAAGGCTGCGATAATGTTTCCTTGGAGTCTTCTCTTCTCCAGGCTGAGCAACCCCAACTCTCAAAGTACATGACATTCAAGTCTTCCATGATGTTTTCTTAAATAGCAAGATTCTTAAAGGGGAGCATAATTGTTGCAAACTAAAGTATGAATTTTTGCTAACATCCATCTAACTACACTTGCTATTTGACATTAGGACTGGGTCTTCCACCAAGGTTTTTATGTAAGCTATACATTGTCAAAAACTTCAATCTTTTTTCTACACTTACCTAATTCAACACTTCTGAGGCCTACAGACAGAAAATGTTCTATTTTCAAAGCTGGCAGAACCACCTCTATTCTGTGTAGGTCTTCAACCCATGAAATAGTGTTAAAAAAGCATTAAAACAGGAAGCTGCATATGCTTAAAGAAGACACAGTATTTTGCCCATAAACCTCCAAAACAACATGGACATTTCATATAATGCAAACGGCATGTTCAGAAAACATTACAGCCTTTTCTGACTTGTATGAACCATGAGCTCCTGAATTCTGAGGACTGTGGGAATTTTGCTTTTCTCCAGTGAAATAATTATAATACATAGAACTTTTCGCAATTCCTCAAGCATTTCATTCTCAAGGTAACAGAAAAAAATCTCGTATCTAAATTTGACATGTTGTATTACTGGACTCTAATTCCTGAGGTATTCAGAAAGGACTTTTTCTGCCAAAACTTCTGAACTTGTTAGCCACAATGCTTTTAGAATATGCCTGAGTTTGTCGACTTACAGAGTTTATGATCAATCTCACAGCCTCTTTTTGCTGTACTGAATTTATCCAAACTTCCTTGCAGTTCAGCCTCCCTCAGAAGCAAAAACAACAGCTACATTAACTTGAATGTTTTCCTGTTTAAAGTAAGCATTGTTAAGGAACGTTACTTTTAACTCGTACCATACTCCAACGAGCTAAACAAGGTACCCTTATGTCCAACTGAGATACGTTTACTTCCTGAATGGCTAGCCAGCCAAGTGACATGCTTGCTTCCTGCTTTTCAGCCATACCGCTGAAGAGTGGCAAGTATTATCACCCAACTGTTCATAGTAGCTACAGATCAACACTGTACAGTATGTAAGTAACCAAGGAACCGTGTAACAGTGACTCAAACTTTCATCAGGACAAAGATTATGTGTGATGTTGCTTTATCAGAATTTTTGGATGGCTCCAACGCAGAGAAATGTCACAGGAATCACCTCCTTACTGTCCTCAAGGGCAATACTATATGGTTACCTGAAAGGCAGGCACCAGCAGCCCAACAAGAAACTGTTCTATTATGCATCATACAGAGCTCTTTGTAATAGATTTTACTTTATAGGAAAATCTACAAAACAGAAATAATACAAATTTAATTAGTAAGAGACATGGTGATATTGATACATAAAAACTAGGATGGTGCTTCACTGAACCGACAAGTCAAAAAAAGCATGAAAAAATTCTAAACAAACCTGCTGGAGCTACGAGATCTTCTTGAAGAGCTATAGCTTCTTGGGGGTGTTCTGGATCTCTTCTCTTTCTTCTTTTTGTCATCTCTCTCTTTTTCTCGCTCCTTCTCCTTATCCCCATCTTTCTCCCTTTCTTTGTCCCTGTCTTTCTCTTTGTCCCCTCCTTTGTCCTTATCTCCCTCCTTGTCCTTAATCTTCTCTCTGTCCTTCTCTCCTTCTTTCTCAATATCTTCTTTTTCTTTGTTCTGATCTATCTCTTCCCTGTCTTTTTCCTTCTCCTTATCTTTCTCCTTTTCCCTGTCTTTGTCTCTGTCTCGATCCCTGTCTTTGTCTCTGGCTCTCTCGCGATCCTTGTTACGCTCTTTATCTCTCTCTCTGTCCTTCTCCCTGTTTCTCTCTTTATCTCGCTCTCTTTCCCTGTCTTTGTCTCGGTCTCTGTCCTTCTCCTTGTCTCTGTCTCTCTCTTTCTCCTTTTCTTTGGCCTTTTCTTTTTCCTTGAACTTTTCTTTGTCTCTCTTCTTGTCCCTGTGAAAATCCAAACACAAATCCATTAATTCACCTTTGAATTTTCCAATTAAAATTACAACTAACTCTTTAGCATACATTAATTGCCCATGATAAAGTATGTGTCTCTGTTGAAAAACAGTAATTATTCAGTATTTTAATTTTCCACCCCTGTTCACCATGAGGGAAAGGTTAGATTGCTAGGAAAAATCTGGAAACCAAATTGGAGAAGGGGAGGCCAAAATCAAATCAAGCCATGATCTTCAGATAGATACTATTACCCTCTGAAAGAATACATCTGTTCACCTCACAGTTATGTTATACATAAATAATTCTTGTACATTTTGTCAGGAGTGAGACAAACTCTACAATCTGTAAATCCACTATTTATTAAAAGTGTGTCCACATAAAATGGACTGCAGATTAGCCACACCCACATGAATAATAACAGCTGACTGACAGAAGACTTAATTCTACAGTGTTCTCTCACATAGATATCCTGGAACTGCTTGGAAGTCCAACAACAATTAATACACAGAAATAAAAAATCAGGGATAAAATTTCACCAAACAAATTCCCTCAAAAGGCAAATGTAATGTCAAACCTCAATCAAGACAATTAAATCACCTGTAATGTCATTAGAAATTTTAAAGTTACTGAAAAATTAATACAGTAAAAACAGAAACAAAGATAAAGAAACAAGTCAGCTTCTCTGGGACAGGAAGAATGATACATATTCATAAAAAGAACAGTGAGGAAAATTCCAACTAAAGTTCTAGTCATCAAGCCAATTAAAAATTGATTAGATCACAGTTTTGTCTGAAAGATTATATTTTGGTATAGGATTATTTGGAAGTGTGAGACTATCTTTCCTTCCTAGCAGAGACACATAACTCCTAGACCTGCCTTTAGGACGTATGAAAATGAACAATCATTCAGAGACAGAAAGAGAAGGAAGAAGAAGAGAAGTTCATTAGCAGGCCTTTATGTCCAAGAGAACCAGACTATGAGAAGTTGCTGTGTCTACTGGTACCTATTCTGAGATTTTTAAAGATTCTCAAAGAGACTCCCTCATACATGAAACGTCCTAAGCACGGCCCCCACCTTTCTTCAATGGAAGAAGCGTTTAGCTGTATCGTCTCAACTGCTAATAAATAGAAGGCTGTTGTATGCTCTGTGACCTGACAACTTTGATTCCCATCAGTTTTTGGCAAATAATTCTTCAGAAGTCTCAGAGAAGGAATGTACGATCATAAAGATGAAACAGCACGCAATCCCTGCAATTGCAGAGTCTCGCAATGACCCAATAAGTGCCTTCCAGTTAATTTATCACAGATAATTCACTGGACTTGCCCCTTCCAGTGAGCAGATATCTCAAGAAGCTCCAGACAACAGCCACAGAGAATCAAAAGAATCCATCAATAAAGTCCGGCTAGCTATCTAGCCTATTCCTGTTTCCACTGAGGTCCACAGATGTGCAGTTCTATTTTCCACAAAATTTCTTCCCTCAAAAAATCAAGAGGCAACTGAACAACCTAAGCATGACACTCCATTTAAATGAATCAGGGGAATTAAAGAGATTGAACAGAAAGAAAAGTATCAGGACTTCTACTCATGAAGCTACTTTCATAGGCACTTTTGTTTTGTGAATGTTTGCTACTTTTATCCCTCAAAAAATGATGTTATGGTCTTGATGAAATTTCACAGTTCAGTAATTAGTTGATCAGACTTAACTAGATTAGACATAGATGTATTAGATCCTGTAATGTAAATATGCCATATAACAGACGTGCATTTGTGCACACAGCAGTGCATGGCCAATATGAGATAGCCAAAGGTGAAAATAGAAGCTCATGCACAAAAACTTTATACATGTTCTCAGAATGAAAGATCAAGTTCAGCCTGAATCCAACCTTATCAACAGATATAGATCGAACAAGCACGATCTGCTTTTTTGTGGGTTGCACAGGCTAAACAGAACACTGATCTTTTGGTCAGTCTGGCAATTACTTATTTTCACTCAGCTTGCATGCTGGTATAAATGTAGACCAGGCTATCAAAGGTTAGGTACCTCGGTGTAGTGATTTAACCCCCACAGGCATCATATGAGCTACTATGAAGAAAATTTACTCTATCGCAGCCAAAGCCAGTACACTCAGCATTAAAATCTATTTTCTACTCTTTTGTCCCACAGACAGAGCCTAGGGACAGGCTACAGCATTTAGAGATTTCACCCTTTACTATCATCTAAAACTCTATACTGTGTGCTAATAAGTACAGTATAATTTCTAAGGAACGGAACTCACCGAGAACGAGAGCGGCTTCTTGATTTCCGCCTTTCCCTAGATCTGGATCGTTTTTTCAGAGGACTTCTGGATCTACGTCTGTCCTTGTGTCTTGAGAGTGATCTGTTGCCAGATCTACTTCTGTATGAGCAATGACAGAAGAAAAATTCTTTAATATTGAAACCTCATAAAAATTAGATCAACCAACAAAGGAAAAAAACCATAAATCTTGCCTGATTATATTAAACTAAAGAGCTACACCTCAGTAATATACTGCCTACCAACATTTTTGCAAACAGAGAGCTACTTTATGCTTCACCAGGTGCACTTGCTGTCCTTTGAAACAACGCACCATTTATGTAATACCCATTTCATAATAATCTCCATGAACATTCTGAAAAATACAAATTTATATGATATTAAGGTAGATGTACTTAGTAACTTACAGGGCATGAAATCTACTATGGACAATTCCTAGCAGTTTGTTAAAATAATTAGCTACATTTTGTTTCTTTTTCAGGCCAAATCACTTATTGCAGTCTTGGTCACTGAAGAAAGATGGTTTTAACCAGTGTCTTTTGGTTTGTTCTCCACCCTCACAACTTAAATGAACTTTAAAACACCGAACAAAAACACAAAAACCCCCACTATCTGTGGTTCAGCATTTAGCTCGTTACCTTTTCAGTTGAAAGGATCTGTTAGCATGGATGTCAATTATAAGAATTCTCAAGGAAAGGAATGAGTATTTACTACATGATAAATAAGGAATGTAAATAAAGTGCAGATACTCTGATAAAAATCCAATTACAGTCTTCTGACAAGCATATATAGTGTAGTCACAGATTTGATGAAGAAAATACAACTTTTAATTACTATATAATTTTTGTCCAAAATATTTACTATTTTTGGAAGATGACACTCCTTAAGAAAGCAAAAATAAAAAGCTGAATTTGAACATTAAGTTTCAAAAATTGCATTGTTGAATACTTTCCCGACAGCTTAAGGTACCATGAAGTTTAACTTACCAAAGACAGAAAGGCCATGTATATTACTCAATAAATCCTGAAGAACAGGAAGGTACAAAAAAATACCAGCTCCACCCATCTTCTCCAGTTCAAGACACACAGAGTACATTTAGAGGGAAAGAGTATCTATTCAGAAGCAAAGTTCCTGGTTATTCTGATCTGCTCAGTTTAAGTTAGAAATACTCTACAGGGCCATTTGTCTTATAACTCTAAGAAATTTCACTAACCACCACCACTCAAAAAAGCCAGTATGATCTCTTAGTCCAAAATAAAAATCATACCTACCTGTGTTTTGAGTGTGATCTTTTCCTTCTAGATCGGGATTTTGAGCTAGACCTGGACTCTGAACGTGAATGGGAACGAGATCGACCGCCTTTTCTTTCACTGCTCTTTCCAGACTCTGAGAGGAAAAAACCACTTTGCAGTGTAAGCTCAGAACATTTAAAGATCCCAGTTAACAATCTGGCACAAGTGGAATGTACCACATATAGTGCAAGGGGCCTACTCTTTGCACATCTTCCTTCTTTGCAAATATCCTTCAGAAACATCCAAGAAAGTCATTGCATATACTCGTTGAGTGCAGCCATCCTGCAGCAGTACACATAAACCAGATAATTATAAACAGCTAGCTCTATTAGCAATGGGATTTATGTTGCTGCCACAATGCACAAGATCACAACATGTTCTCCTCTGGGTCTATTATTTAATATATTTACTTTAAAAAAAAAAAAAAATAACCTGAGAAGAATAGAGTAAATTTAAAGGGCATTATTTTAAAAACAAGCATAAAATGTAAATAATAATTAGTACTTTCTATACTTTTAGGTATTTCAACCACTGTACAAACATTGCAGTTTTATTCCTTGAACACTGTCTTATGGGAGGAAGGGATGGAGAGACAAGGGTGAAAAGTTTGATTCAAAGGCCAGGATGTCAACAGAAGCCTTAACAGTGACCGCAGAAAACTTTGATTCAGATTCTAGAAGACTGTTATTCTGCTGCTTAACACTGAGGAAATGTTAGAGCTATTTTTCTTTCAACCCTAAAAAAACCCCAGAAAATACTCACCCACCCCCCTAAAGTAACACTTGGGACTCCACACTATCTAACCTAAGTAATACAATGTCTGGTTTTGTCAGTGAGAATGACAAATACTCACTGGTGAAAAGAGAAAGAAGGATCTCAACTCCAAGTTTAACAAATTGAGAATTTTTTTAGTGGTAGGGTTTTGCAGTCAGTTTAAGTCAGCATATATCAGCACTGAAATGTCTGTCTAACCTTTCAACCCACCAAAACCTTCCTCCTTGACCTGGCACCGCAGTGTTAGCAGGCATCAGGGAACCAATCTGGATGAAAAAAAGCCCTTTACAACATGCAAAGTTTTATCCCAGATTAATTCTCTGATCCCATTTTCTATGAAGATGCACAGAATCTTGAGCCAGCATGAAAAAGAGCATAGTGCAGGGACAAAATTAACATGCTGAGGATAAGGGAAGTATAATATTACTACTTTCAGAACCATGCTAGCTCCCTCTGATCATGAAACTATGGCATTAGTGGGTGTTAGAGAACAAAGCAAAATATAAAGCATTTTCTTTTAAAAGTTTTAAGTACTCTGAACTTAAAAAGCACCAACATTAAGTAATAATTTAGTATTAACTTTGTATTTTTGAAAACATTCAGTGAGCATGTATCTGAAAAAAAGACATGATGAAATAAAATCAGCTTCATTCCACTACTTTGCTTCTTGAACACAAATTTTATTTTCTCTATTTTTCCCCCACATGTTGTTCGCCTTTGAGTACCCTTTTCTTGTGCTTGCAAATACTCTCAAAAGTGTGTGCAAAGGTAGACACAGAACTAGGTAATGCTAGGTAATGAACATAATATACCTACCTGGCTCAATAGCAGCAGATATGAAAGACTGGGCTTCCCTTACTCTCTTCATCACTTCTTCCAGTTCCTTGGCAGCAGCTTGTGGTGTCATTTCAGGAGGTTTCACTATTGCATTATTGGAGTGATTTATTCTAGATTAGTGAAAAATAAAACCTTTTCCTCAGAAACACTTGAAAAGGGAAAATGAAAAACAACTAACAAAGGAAAACACCTCAACTTCCATGTACGACCAAAAACTTCAAAGTTCAGAAAAACTACAGATTTGTCCTAACATTCATGTGTTCTATTTGCATCTGATATGTCTTCTATTTCTTCCAAATCTTACCACTTTTAAATAAATGCAGCAAAATATTTCCATGTTAAAATATTTTCTAGTAGAAGACTTGGAATCTGTTTCTCACCTTCAGATAAAATCTCTATGTTAAGGTCTACTAATTGCATACATATATAAAAAGCTTAATTAGTACCAAGGACTTTGAAGACTCTTTCATTATTATAAGTAATTTCCACTACATCAAGATTAAATATATTTTACTCAATGCCACCCATATTCTTCTCAGAGAAAGTTATGCCCAACTTTGAAATTGGAGTTTGTAAAAATGTTCCAGTTCACTAAGAATAGGTCTTTAAGTTGAAAAAATATTAATCACAGCAGTCTCCTGCACATCAGTCATAAATATATCAGGATAAAAAGAAACCTCTCATTCAATAGTCATACGGATAATTAATTTCTTACTTCAGTGGCCTGTCTCCAAACATAACTCCATTAAAGGCAAGAGCTCGAGGTACAGAATTTTGGTCTGCAAATTCCACAAAAGCAAATCTTGTTGGTTGAGTCTCATCACCTGCCATTCGCACAAATTTGACTTCTCCAACTTGCTTAAAGAATTCAAGCAGCTGATCTGCTGTTGTAGTCTAGAAAGAGTTGAAGAGCTCAGCTGAAGTGAAATATATAATGAAAACCACTTATCCAATATAACAGGTAATCTAAGAGCTATAGATTTTGGAAAGGTATCTTACCATTCTTACAGAGGTGACATGAATTTGGTAATGCTACACTTTAAGACAGGTATTTTTATTTCCATTAATCTAAAGGATATACTACAATTTAAAATAGTGCAGCCACAAGCCCTGAAATCCTACACTTAGATTCAAAAACCATTTGCACAGGATTTTTCACTTTTCATGCAACTCATCTGAAGTAACTGATGAAGAATTTCCTTATGCACCTCTGTACAAGCTAGTGACTGTGAATTTTGATCAATTAAAAAAAAAAACCTATCTGTTTTTCTACTGGTTTCCACCTTGTTTTATTTTATCATGATCAATAGTACTTTTACACTATACTAGCTACTTTGGCAGTAAAAAAAAACCCAAAACAACACACTTATATTGACATCGGTCAAAAGCAAATAATTTTTCAATTAATTCAATCAACTGCTGAAAAACTAAGTTTCTGACAGACTTAACTTTCCTGTTACTGAAACTCAATGGTATTTATGCTAATTTTGCAGCTCCCATTAGGACACATCACTCCATCTCACTGTACTTAAGCAACTGCACCATCACTTCACAACTTCTGAGGCATGGCTCAGCTAACACAACCCATCTGGACATTTGATCAACATGCGCAACCTTAAGTATGATTCTTAAATTCAGCTACAGTGTGATTTTTCTGGTACCCTGCCAGAATGAATTCCAGAGTCTGGTCTGATCTGATTGGTACAGGAGCATTTGAAATCTGAAATATCACTAGTAACCAAAAATATCTTTTTTTTTGTTTAAATTCCTATTGGTATCAACTAACAAGAACTCTTTAACATGTAAGATTAGAATTAATAATTACATTTCTACACCTTCCGTTTGTATTTCCATTATACAGAAAAAAAGCTACCTGGGAATTCAAATTTCCAACATAGACTGTTCTCCTGATTTCATCAATTTTGGATGGATCCACATTCCCCATAATTGGTGGTTGTGGTATGTCTCCCAGTGCCGTAATGTTAGGGTCCAATGCTGCTGCTGGTATAGCCCCCAAAGTTCCAAGTGAAACACCAAGCTAGAAAACACAGAATATGCTTTGAAACCAAGTACTGGTGAGAGATATTTCATGTTTTAATACATGCCTTCCTTGTACATGTCTGTAAAAATAAATCTAATGAATATAGGCAATACTTTAGACTTTAAGGTCCCAGTTGAGCACTTTTTAAAAAAGAATAAAAATCTACCCATAAATAACATTGTATAGTTAAGAATTTATTGTGAGCTATCAGTTAACATCTTATCAAAGAGGTCTGGCCAGGGATGCAGTATATCAATCAGAAAACACAGGCTTAAATTTCTAATGCTTAGAGTCAATTAAATTAAGATGTCTTCAGACACTGCTAATATTATTTTACCATAAGCAGCATTAGGAATAGATGAGGAACTGTTGAGCCTTTGCCCAGCAAGTGAAGGAGGGAATTGTCAGTGCCCAGGGCCAATTTGTTCTGTAACAAATACCAGTCCATCAAAGGGACAGGTAAGGTATCTTTTAAACAAACGCATCATATAAGGCAAGATTAATTACAGTTGAAATGTGAAGGATATTAAGTCTAAGTTCTTACTCTACAAACACAGTTACTTCCTAAAGAATGAGGACAATGCAGCTCTTATTTTTGGAACGGAGAACTGAAATCTCTCCTGGGAAATGTTATAAAAAAAAGTCACTTAAAAATAATTTAAGTGGTCTGCTGAGTTCCTGGTTTGAATATTATTTTCTCCACCCAAAAAGCAACTGCCTTTCCAGCAAACAAATTTTCTAACAAGTGTAATAAATTCTTAGCAAGCCACCAGGAATTTTTTTTTTAATGTAATAAAAGAGAAAACTAATATATTTTAACTTGAAATTTTCCCTGAATAGTTCACAGCAGCCTTCTGATGTCAAAAAAGGATCATAGAGGCAAAAGGGAACTGAGCAGAAGTATCATCAGCTAGCTCCTGCGCTTTTTGTAGTGAAAACATTGCTAGACAGTCAAAAGCTCTGTTGTAAAGACATCAAGTAAAAGCACACTAATGCAGCATTTTAATATTCTGAAGAACTGTGTCAATGTAACTACTATGTTTTAACAAATTTTTAGGAGGTGGATAGAACAGCCACTAGACCAAATTAATGGGTCTAAAGAATGACAACAATTAAAATGGACACAACCAAAATCAGCAGTTACCCACTATTCTGCAAGATAATAATCTGAAAGAAAAACCTAAGAAAAGTAGTGCATGGTCATCTTGTGATCTACCCTCAAAAGAGGCATGACTGATGAACTGTGACTGATCTAGCATACAAGAGGACAACATCCATGGATCAGATAGTTCTTGTTCTCTGAACACACAAAAGACTACTGAGTATAGAGGAAACCAGAGATCAAACAGCGACTGAAATTTACTTACTGTAGTCAAAGGTGTTGGCGTAGGTATAGGAAGCAACCCTGCACCAGGCATCAGGCTTGTCATAGTAGGAGCAGGCGCCAGTAGAGAAAGGGCTTTGGCTTCATCTGGAATTTTACCTGAAGAAGCAAATGAACGCATTACACAGAGTTGGAACACTAGACAGATGTTACTCTTTCTATGATTTTATAATTACCCTTGCATTTAAAAATGTAATAAAAAACAATGAATCTATCTACCAGATCCTTACAAAGAAACAAATAAGAACTTAAGTTTTTCCTTTTACCCTGCTCTACTAGGAAAAACAAAAGTGAGCAAAACTTCAAAGACTAGCAATCTCATTAATGGATTATTATTTTAAAAACTGCATAATGTATACAATTATTTAACACTTTGAGCTATGGGTCACCTGTACTGGAAACTTAATGTTCATGAACCAAACGATATCAAGCATGGACGCTTTCCCAGGGCGGTGTTTTCGCGGTGATCGAAAGTTGTTTTACACATGACAACCGTTCGTGTTGGCTGCATCACTAATAGCACACAGAACATCAGATACAGAAAAGAAGAACATTTTTTAAAGTTTAATCCCCAGAAATGGCAAATAACCAAATCAGTAAAAAAAAAAAAAAAAGAAAAAAAAAAGAAAAAAAAAAGAAAAAAGAAAAAACAAGGTATGTACTAACTGAAATTTCTGCCTTTTTTTTTATTCTTCTGGTGCTACCTACTTTGGATGCAAAATTAATAAAAAGAAAATAAAAACTACTGTACTACTGTGACTCCACACAACACATTACAAGTGAAGCTGGAGGTGGAAAAGTAGAGGACAGAAAAAATTTAGATTTGTACTGTCTCACATTCTAGGTCACCTCAGTTTATTTGAAACTTTGATAAATCAGCTTTAAATTTACTGACTTGAAGAAAATCATAACTGATCAGCTAAGCAAGCTGTATGTTCCCAACATATGTATCTCCTGCTATTTCAACTGGATTATACCCCATCATGCTAAAAGTAATATCTAATCTGAATAAAAGGTTTAATTCAGCGTTAGTCACAATTAGACTGCTAAATGAATGCCCCAAAAAAATCTTCAAAAATCAAAAGATTTAATAGTTAATTATGATTGCAATTAAGCATACATATTAAATTTGAAATGCAAATGGGATTGAAACTGGCACAGACATGAAACACTAAACTGAAAAACTACAGAAAGAAGTTCTAATGATACTAGGTATCTATGATCTATTCAAAATCACTGGCATAACTGTATATACACTATGCAACTGAGCCCTTTGGTATTACCCCATGCACTTAATGAAGTAAATGCTTTTATTTAAATATTGTTTTAAAAGTCAAGGTATATACAAATACTGTGCCAGTGGCTTTTACTGCTTTGGTTCAAACTGTGTATGTTTTAACTATAAAACCCCAAACTTTAGGATTTAATAAATTAATATATAAATATTCTTATAAAAAAGCAAAATATGAGGTAAGTTTCAAAACACTGCTCAGTTTTTGCTATACAAGTTCCAGTAGACCCCACAGGAAGTGTAATACTAAAAAAAAAATAAAAAGAATAAAAAAGAGTTGCAAATTCTACAGATCTGCAGCAAGGACTGAGTTACAGTTGGATATGACCAAAGGACAAAATAAATCTAAATGAAACTTAATTTCTATGTAGCATGGGTGGAATAGAAAAGATAAAATAACAGTACCCATTTTTTTCCTCATGCTTCCTATTTACATTTATTTTATTTATGTTAAATTTTGAGGCACCTTGCTCCTTAACAAGTAACAAACCACTTGATTTTGCTATCTAAAGGAAAAAAATAGGAAAATTATTAGCACTTAAAAATTAACTGTGCAATATTCACCTCTAGGGCTTTTTAAAAAACATGCATGAATCTGAGTCATCACAATGTTCAGCACTATTCACAGATCTCATTTTGAAATCAGGCATGCAATGAGAGATGCACCTGATTTGCCTGACTGCTCATGAGTATCACGTACTTTGCTGCACGTTGCCTAATACGTAGCTAACTAAGAGGCTTTTGAATACACAGTTCCAGCAGCTGTGCACAAAAATTAGGCATAGAATTATGTACCAGTTCTTCTGAAAATTGAAATACATGTTTTCAAATGACTAATGAACCAGATCTTATCCCAAACAGATAGCATCTTGCAATTAACTGGATACTCATGCAGGTTTCTACAGGATCAACAGACATAGCTCAAGTAAATCCAGGGGCAGAAATGGCTCCTCAAGTGGTGTGTTTGCATTCTAATTTAGATCTTCGGTCAGTAACATACATAAGTATATGCCTAATTTAAGGATGCACTTACATACAGCCAATTCAATATACACGTAACCAGATATGAGATGCTTAGGCATTTAGCCCTTTTAAAGAGGAACTGGGTTAGGAACAGAACTATCCAGACAATGAGTCAAGTTCAGAAAGGTACTTAAATACAAGCCTGAACTTAAGGATATGGGTCATCATACTGAAAAAAAATGAATTATTGCTCAAATGCTGTTCAAGGAATCCACTGAACACTTTATGTTAAGTGCACCATTATAGAAGTTCAAGGAATGAATAACATGCATATCTAAATTGTACAGTTAGCAGCATTATTTCCAGAATACTTTGGTCCTTCAACAATGTAATGTTTTATTTTAAACAAAAAATCTAGTTGGTTAGTTCCACGCCACAAAGATTCATCTACTTCATTCAAGAATTATAAAGGGTCTGTCTCTACAGGCAGAACCATGAAAATTTGCCATTATATTTTAAGATACTGCCTTTTCAAAAGATCCTTCTCTAATTTTTAAGACCAGGTTAAACTTCTTAACAGTTCTACAGAAAGCAAACTGTTGTGGGGGAAAAAAAGAACACCTGGAATATCGCGCAAATTTACTTCTATGTTCTTTGGACAGTTTTGGAAAACGATTTATATGTGAGGCCAAATAACCTCACAAGTTACAGGCTTTAAGTTTTGGAGCTTTATCTCCATTAATTTATTTATAAAAAGAATACAAGCCCACAAAGATATAACAAAACATGTGGGTTATGACACAACAAATTAGGACACTTTAAATTAAGAATAACTGTTCTGGTTTTTAAACCCATGGTACTTAAAAACTGAATGGAAGTGAGGTAAAAATATTTATTTTCTAATGAGGGAAACAAGATAAATATCTCACATCTATATCACATCCTTAGAAAGGTTTCTTAGAAGTTCTTGTGTTTAGTAAATTACAGATTCTATGATAATTTATTTATTGATTCTTCACTCTGCAAAGAAATCTAGAAACATGTAGATTAGCACTGCATTGCCTAAAGACACCTTATGCTTCTTAGGAAATATACAGTTGTCCTAAATATCAGTTACTGTTACTTTTATCATCAAAGTGCTTAAGAGACCTAGTCAACCTAGCTCATACCAGAATCCATTTTGCTAGATACTGAACAGAAGTGTCTGTGTTAAGCAAGTACTCATCACAGTAATTTTAGCCCCCTCCAAGTGCTCAGAAAAAATTAACTTCCTACTCTTTGTACTATGTGGTTAATCCTCCCCTCTCCAAAAACTGCTTCTGCAATAAGTAAGTTTGCTTGTTTTAAAAATACTTACAGTTCACATCTACTCTAAACATAATTAAAGGAATCTTCATTTTCCTGATATTTTAAATCAATGGAAAATGCACACTTACAAATAAAATAATTTCCGTGTGATCCAATTCAAAGTTCTGACTGGATTTAGGAGGAGCGATTAAAGAGATTGCACCTACTGGCAATTACCTCAACTACCACAGATAAATCCAAGAGATCAGGAAGCAAAGCTCTTCCCCGCCGCAGTGAACAGCCTGGTGCATTACCAGAGTAAAACCAATTGGACCCAACGCAGCTGGCTGGGAAGAGCAACGCCTGAAGACCAGAGACACCATCTGGTTCACCACTTCTGTTTCAGGGCTTCACAAGAACAAACATCATTTAGGGATGAGAACCTCCTCAGCCACTCCAGCAGAAACTGCCAGGGCTTCTGAAAATGTGAGATGGCCGAGAAGACATGTTTGGTTTTTTTTTTGTTTTTTTTTGTTTTTTTTTTTTTTGGTTTTTTTTTTTTGGTGTTGTTTTTTTTTTTTTTAAAAAAAAAACCTATTCTTGAAATAACTACCACTGGAGCATGTCAAAGTGCAAAATATACACATACATACACACACACACGCACAAAGAACTGATTCAATCTTCCCACAAATAACAGTGTTAAAAGACAATGTGCCTCACATAACATATTCCAACCAAAATTTCAGGCTGCATTTGTACTTATGAGTGGTAAACAGTTTTTTCTGAAAATTACTAACACAAAAGGATGAAATCTTACTGCCACTGACCTAACTGGAGCAAGGTTTCATCAGAAGCAAACAAGTATTTCATGACATTCAATATTCATGAAAGTTCAATTTCAGAAATAATTAAACTCTTCATATCACACATAAATAGTAAGCCTTCTTTTAAACAGACCATGCAACCTAAAATAAACTACTCTGCCGAGAAGAGGAAAAATAGCAGAGAAAGGTCATGACTTTACTTTGTAAAGTTAATTTCTCCAGAAGTAAGTTTCAGCTGTCCTTTTCCACGATAATAAAGCATAACATATGAATGTATCTTAAAACTGATATATTTTTCACTATTTCTGTTTTCTGACACAATGTGCTCATCTTTTGAATTTAGATGCTTAAACATATTCCAAATCAAATTTATCTGCAATTCACAGCACAAAAATTAATCATATTCTAAATTCTGTGTATACCATCCACCATTCATAAGCAGCTTCAGGTCAACTTCAAAATGAAACACTGTGAACCCTTTACAAAACACCATTTTTACAGAACTGAAGTACCAGTTCACAAGTACAAGGGAAAGAGATTTAACAGAACAAAACAAAAAAAAGGGACAAAATAAAATAAAAATAAAAGAAACAAAGGAAAGAAAGCAAAATAAAATAAAAACAGAGACAGGGCGTCCATCTTCAGCAGGCCAGACTTCGATCTCATTTCCCCCATGAAGGTTTCACTTGGCGGCAGGTTTAGTGGCATGGCAAACAATGCCTAACTCAGGCAAGTGTAACAGGTCTGCCTTGGCCAGTCTAGTCATCTAATAATGCACAAATATCACACAGAGAAAACATACAAAACCAAATTAATAGTCAAAATCCATCTACCAGATAAGGTGGACATAAAATTTAGAATGATTAGGGTGGCATCTTTGTTAATCTTTCAACCCTTGTGTTCTCAAAGTATAACGTTTAAAGAAAAACCTACTGATACCCATACAAAAAAGCCACTTTTTGACAGCTTAATAATGTTACTTCATTCACAATTACATTTTTGTTAAATGTCACAAAATTAGCATTGTTTTCATTGTGTAGTGATTCCCTCCTCAAACTCCCTTTATTTACCACTGTTTAAATACACTACAAATTGCAGATTTTATTCTGGTTTTTAAAATCCAGTTTTCAGAGTTCTCTTTTACTTCTCCTCTATGTTCGAGTCGGCGCATGAAATGTTTTATTACTGGCATCGTTGGCCAAGGATATAATTTTACATCCTGGTAGAATATAGCCATGACTACCTTTAAAGCCCGTGACACGCTCCACTGACTCCATTAACAATGCATCATATGACACATAGTGAATCAGAAATCTTGCACTGTCGTCTCCAAAGCCATACTTATTCCACACAATAAATTCCTCAAAAAGTTAAACCTATATAAATTCACACCTTTATAAATTAAAATTAGTGATTCTCTTAGAAAGCTACATGGAAACAGCATTCTGACATTAAAAAAAAATTTCAACTCACAACCCAATCACTTGTTCACCTAATTATGCATAAATCTCTGTGAGGTTCAGGATGATTTTGAACAGTGACAATTTCTCTGCAATACAGTTTCTCAGAAATGCCTAGTAAGTCAGCTACAAATGGGGCTGGAACAAGATCTGTCAGAACTCTGACTTTATTCTTCTTTCATTCATTGTCTACCATCAAGAGACACAGGAAAACGTAGCTTTACCTGCCTGTTGCCATATCATGTCAGGCAGTGATCTCATCACAAGAAAAACACCAGGAAGTGTTGTTCATTCATTAGGCGGCAATCTTCCCTCTCTGGTAGTACTGAACCAGTGTTAAGGTCTTTTTGATGAAATGTAAAACTATGATCCTGAATAATTTGTAGTCAATTATTTAGGGGCAATTTTTCAATAATAAGGTCTCTGGTCCCATTAGCCTCTACAGAGCTTCAAGTGGATACAGCAGTATCCTTTTTGTGGTTTAGGAACAAGTTCAAAAAATAAAACGAAAATGCCCTCAAAACAAGGCATAAAAGCAACTAAAAATCTAGGCTTCACAAACACATGTGCCATATGCCCCTATTAAGAAGGCTACAAGAATGGGAACTATATTGTAGGTCAGTATAGTGTTTAGTGAAAGTACTTATAGAGTCTATGAGATTATGGAGACTTGTCAGAGTTTGCTAGGAACATCCCAGACCATTGTTACAGCAGCACTAACCTCATACTAACCAGATCACGATGTGGCAAACATGCCAAAAAATGGTGTTCTGGGACCACTGTTAACAAACTCCAAGAAGTCAGCAGTATTTTCTGAACCAAAATCTGACTCTTACAGTTAGAAAAGTTATGTTAGTAGGTATTTCTGGACTTGCTGCAGTTTACGGTTCAATCATTTTAAATACTGTTGTACATGGCAAAACAGCTACCGTGTTCAAAGTGAACATATGTTCACTCCACCTTCTCCAAAGAAGCAAGAAGTCCAGAACCAAATGGGCAGAAGCTCAATTCCACAATGATCCCAATGAAGTCAATGAGGCTCTGCCTAACTCCGGTAATTATGCCTACTGTAAGGCCATGCTTCATTTAACGGTATTCAGATCCAGGATATTATACTAACAATACAAACTACCTTGTATTCAACACATCTGTAAAAGTATGGTCCACAAAACTAGTTATCGGAACACCTGTAAATTTAGTATTCCACAAGCAATTTATTTTATTAAGTTTTAAAAACATTTTACACCGGAAGCATTCTGTACAGATCACTGCATTTTTAAAGAGATATCTAAAACCAAAACCGAATACCAGTATATATAAGAAAGCCTTTTTATGGCTCACGAAGTAGTATTTTCCACAGTAACAAGAAAGAAAAACTGAATTTTTTTTTATTGAACTAGCAGGTAAACATTTATATTTAAACAGTAATTATAACCATGAACACTAAGTATTTTAGATTAGATTAATCTAAAATTGCCAAATGCATATATCACAGGTCTACAAGCAAAACTGGGATTCAGTCTAAAGAAAGATGGAAAAATAATCAGTACCAAGAAAAAAAAAAAAAAAAAAAAAAAACAAAACCCCCCCAAAAAACAACCAAAAAACAACAGAAACCCCCACTACACCAAATGTAATACACTAAGACCCAAACTACAATATTATGGGTGCCAGGAAATTGCCTAACCTTTTCAGTGCTCCATTGACTTCAGTGAGAACTCTGTGTGAGAATAAGCTTGCCAACACCAACCATATTGAAGGGACTTATTTACCTTCTTTTCCCTCAAAATATGTAGTAACTATGGAAAATTTAATTATCCTGAATTAACTGTCTTTTTTCTAATGCTGAATTTCAATTAAATATATATATATATATTGGGATTTTCAATATTGTTTCAAGACTGTTTTTTCAAAAAGCAGTAAAATAACATAAAATAACAACAAAGCACCACCTCCTGACACGGAAAGCTTAGAACAATTAGCAGACATGACAAAGACCAACATTACAGAAGTGTATCTGAAATACCAACCTTCTGCACAGGGCACAACTATCAAAGCTCTGTCAATAAAAACCGTGTTAGTTAGATGCTGGGCCACACCAACACTCGATGCTTCACGAAACTTAATATAACATACTTTGGAGGAAAAAGCAAGAGGTGCGTTGCTGCAAGATAAAAGGAAAAAACAATTAGTCACATTAAATAATTGTATGCGTGCATTTTTAACTATTACTCCTTAATAAAAAGGTAGATTTTAGACTTCCTCAAAAAGTTAGTCAAAAGGCAAGCATATAGAAATTTACTAATTTGCCTAATGATGTCACTGAAAAAAGCACAGGATAGTACCTTCTCCTTTTCAATGGAAACTTACAGAAACCAAAATACCAAATCAACAAGGTTAATTTCCTTTTATAATCTTGCTAAACAACATTGACCAGGGCATTTCAGATTACTATTGTAAGTAGCATATTCATTGACACATTTGTCAAGTAAACAATTTATAGTTTATCTTTTTTACTCTAAACAATTCTTGTTTGACAAAGTCAAACAACAAGCTCAGTCATTTTTCAATAGGTCCTTCAAATATTAGCCCCTAATAATTGATATTCTTTCTTAGGTATTCATGAAAGCAGTTTTGTTAATTCTTATTAAGATAAAAGAAGTTCTTGTGAGTTCTTGCAAATGTTAGGTCATACTTCACTAATATAGCAAAAATCCTTTTTAACATCTGCCTTAGTTTGGCATAGCATAGCACGGGATAGCACTGAAGGAGGTAGCAGGAATTCTCTATTTGGCTAGAAGAAGGAAGGAAATTTGTAATTTCCCTTTCCATTAGGAAATATACCAATGGAGATGTCAGAAAGCAGAACACATAAACATTGTAATCTCCATCAAACCCGAAGTAGTTTGCTTTAAAAAATGTATTCCCTAGTCAAGGTTTGTAACCTTTATACAAGCAGTTTATTTCTTCATGTGAAGGAAGTACAGGTGAAATCTTCAAAGAGAGAATGCAACAGGATATTGCTGGCACATCAGCAATTTCCATTTGAAAAGACCATCTGTCATCTAGGAAAACAGTATCTCATAGAAAATACGCTGCATAAACTGTTTCATCCTGACCCTTCCTCTACTGAAACAGAAACGCTTGTCAACCTTCTGAAGTACCAGAAGCAGTTCAAGTTTAGCCCAACTATTATAGTCCCTCAAATTCCAAGCAGGTACTCCCAAAGCTGTGGTGTGGAATTAATCAGACTTTAGTATTTAAATACAAACTCAGAAGTTTACGACACATTGTTTCATCACATTAATTGCATAAATGAACCAAGAACTTAAGTCTGAGGCAGGCAGCCTGGTATGCTTCTGGTTACCAGAAAGGTAAGAACTAGGTAAAATATCTAGAGCCAGACAACTTCAGAATGGCATTCAGAAACACTTAGGATGGAAAATTCTGTGAAAACATATACACTGAGGAGGCAAAAATAAAGAGGGAGTGGGAGAGACATAAATACGCAAGTCAATTTTATACAATTCAGAAAAACACTGCAAGATGACTACATTTCTTTTGCCCATTTATTTTGTTTGTAGTGGCCAATGTTTCCACAGTCTCAATTTTCCACATTCAGGAAGGAAATAATTGTACAGCATGGCTTCTGAGCCACCTGTAAGCTCTTGGTTCAAAACAGTTTCCAACATCAGAGGTGACAGTGAGCTATGACTTCCTCAGTACTCAGCAGAAATGTCTGCACACAACTTTTAATCCTGCATATTCTGAAAAGCCACTTCATTCACGGCAAAGATTGGGTTTTTGTTTGTTTTGGGGTTTTTTTTTGTTTTTTTTTTTTTTTTTTTCTTTGGGGGGGGGGGAGAGGGGGTTTGTTGTTTTTTTTTAATGGCCACAGGTTTTTTTGTTTGCTTTGGTTTGCTGCGGGAAGGGTGGAAGAGCATCTGTGGGTGGGCTCGGGAGGAGAGGGCGTTTAGGGTTTGTTGTTATTGTTGTTTGGGGTTTGCTTGTGTTTAAATACACGTCAGTGTTACATCCCAAATGGCTGAAGTCTCCACTGAAAATTTGGTGGTCCAGACTGTTGAAGACTTCTAATGTCTCCTCTTTACTTTTTTGTTTTCATTGCTAACTCAAGAACGTAACTCTGTTCCAGGCAGTTCCAGGTCCCATAAATAATCCTTGTAAATGTCAACATCTATAAAGCTAGCTCTGACAAGCTTATTTTTTATAATATTCTCCCCCCTGTATTTCCTGGATTTTAATCACAAAAGCTATGCGGAAAGTATGTTAAAAAATATTAACATCAGAACACTGCTGCAAGTGAGGATCTAAAAAGAAGTCCTGGTACAAAGTCTTGTCCGAAGGTTACGAAGGAGAAATTCTCTATAAGGAGACCACCTTTACTGAAAAAAAAAAAAAAAAAAAAATCGATGCTACATCTACATCAAGGAAAATGATTAATACCCATACTATCTAAAATTCTAAAATGTTTCACAGTGATTGAGTCCTCTCCTTTTACAAAGTGAGCCTCCTAAACTTCACTAGCAGTCTTAAAAATTCTTTCTTAAAACGGAAAAGTTCTGGTTTAATTCCTTTTGTTCCATTTTCTTCTGCTAACCTTCCCTAAGGCTCAATTGGGGTTGAGTCATAGTCTTCTTCCTAGGGTTACAAAGCACAAATGCAAAAAAGCAACTCCTACACCTCTGATTCAAGATTACTATAATCCAGTTTCTTTAGAAAAGCAAGAAAACTGAAAAAGGAAATAAACATATAAACAGTGTTCGGATACTTCTGCCATTTTTGCTTTCCTTTGTAGTGAGACAGTAACATCCCTCTCCCAACAGAATAACCACCAACCAAAAACATTTCATAACAATGACCTATTCAGAAAGCTACAGTAAAAAAAAAAATCAAATAACAGACTACAAAACATTCCTCTATGGGTCCAGATTTTCTCAGGGTGGTGGTGGTGGAGGAGACAACATAAATCAATAACTTGTCAAAGTAAGATGTTAGGGAATAATTGTGCATATCATCTTTAAATAAGACTCATGTTTTATCTCAAAGGCCTCATCTATATTGCAGTCACTGCAGGATCTATCAATCTCTAAGTAACACTTGTGTGTTCTCCAAGACCATCCAAAAGCAAACAGTATTACAAAGCAGGATTTTCAACACCTAATGGAGACAGTTTGTGCCTCCCTGCTTTCAAACAACTCATTCTGCAAAAATCCAGCTGTTGCTCAATAAAGCTTTTCAATATTTAACTGTTAAAAAATCCAATTACAGTTACTTTTGAAGGCTTATCACTACAAATGTAATATTGAAGCCTCCTCTGAAACACAGACTTCAACTGGGTGACAAGCGTAACAAAAGCATGATGGGACTAAGAATCTGATTACAGACATCACTGGTCTCCTAGTAAGTCAAAAACCGGCTCTATACTGTATGAGTGGTTGGCATGCTGGAGTACATACCCAAGGCAAAAAACCTGTCACACCCTGCAAACCAGCTCTAGATTCCAACTGTACTGCAAAATGGAAGTGATCTGTAAAAACGGGTCTCAGTCTTGTTCAGAACTGTGAGAAAATAAAGCCATATTTCATCTTCTCACAGAAGTCTATTTAAACAGCCAACAGGAAGGTACCAAATTAATACCTTCTTGAACAACAACTTCGTCCTAATCTCTGTGAAAGCTTTTACTTTATTTAGGTAACAAAAATACTCTCAGATGACTGAAAGTTACTATGTCACCTTCCCCTTATTCCTCAGCATGAAATAAATTAAAAAATGCATATCAATATTTGTTGTTCAGTAGTCAATATCCATGAGACCTGTAGACCACCAATTCAACTTACATTATTATGTTCTTCATGTAGAAACCAGACTGAAAAGTGAGTTTCCACTGTTCCATGAAGGTAACAAAATTAATGCTCTAGAATACATTGGAAGTTTAGATTTCTTACATAATTGCTTTTAACCTTAAGACTGACGTGACATGATTTTTTTGTCTGGTGTTGATTCTAATGTAAAAAGCAAATTTCCCTTTTAACTGAATAAATAGAAAGAACTGATTTTTAAAAATCTAGGCTTTAAAGCAGTAAATACTTAAGGAAAAAAAGAGTAGATCAAAATAATTTTATCAAATTGCAGACATCTATTGTAGCATCTTTTTGATTGGGACACCTTTGCTTCCCATGCACCCATCAATGAAACACTATTTTTCCAAATTTACCATAATATTATTCAAATATATTTTCAGAGAGTTAATAGGAAGCATGTCTTCTTTTTGTCTCACAAGCAGGGCATTAAAGTAAGTATTTAATTTTTTTCCAAGGTAATAATTTGAAAATCAGGTCAAATGTCCATACCCACTATGCAAGAAAATCCATATTCCTAAAGGTTCTGCCTAAAAATTGTAAATAAAACCAAGAACTAAATAAGTAATCACAATCCCAAATGCTATCTCTGAAAACTGAATTAATCTTTTAGAACTGATGCTTACAGCATTATAACCTTGACATTTCCAAGTCAAACCCTACTACAGTACTGGATTTTAGTATTTTATGTGTGTATACACACTGGCAAAATTTCATACATAGGCACAAGCATTATTTGCATATGAATGTCAATAAAGTATCTGTCTTAAAATCTGTTATATAACTTAGTGAAAAATAAGAGCAACGGTTCTAACAAAAAACACATTCAGTCAGAAGAAAACTCGAGTGTATTAAGAAGCAAGTGTGGAACACATCTGAAATAAAACCCTAGAAACTGTATGGAAATCACCATAAATCTATTAAAATTCAGTAAGGCTGTTTTCAGCTTATCTTTACATAGATGCCTATTACATATACTTTATATATACATATTACATTGTATTTAATTTTTTGGAACGGTCCTCATTCAAGCCTACTCAGATCTAATGTAGTAACATATAAAAATGGATAAACACCAGCTTTTTTGCTATTTAGTTTAAAAAGTCGACATTTTATTCATCTGAACATCTTTTTATTGAAATGCAATTATCTGGAGGTGAATTACTCCCTCCGCTTTCTGCTATTCCTATTTAATTTTGATGAGAAAGAACGATAAATGGTTTGGAAGGCCATGTCCATTATTCACTTCCTAGTACAACAGATGCGTTAAGAAAAAAAGTATCTCTTTTCCTCCCCTGTTCTGTTGATGATCAGATTCTGCTTGGGAGAAACAATACTGGTATTTTGCAAACCTCCCATCTGAGTGCATCCCTAACATGCAGCTGACATGAGAACAGCTACACTTTAGAGAAAGGTGCAATGTCTGTCATTAACTTTCATTTTCTGTACGTGTCTTATCAGGGGCATTTCTAAGCACAAGGGCACGTTTCGTCCTTCTGTGAACCGGTATTTTGGCTTCTGTTCAAGCGGCCCCTTCTCGAAAAACAGAGCCCTTCGAACAAAAACAAACAAACAAACAAATAAATAAAAAAAAAGTAGTTGATCCTGTCGGCACGCACCGCCCGGGCAGCGCGGCCCGGTGGCCAGCCGAGCGGGGGTTAGGCCTGGAAGTCTCTCGCCCGACCCCCCTCCACTCAATCCGAGCAAAGACGGGAGGGACAAGAAAGGGGTTTTTTAGGAAAAAAGTGGAAAGAGACCTCTCTCCGGGATTTTGGCTGTGGCTCAGTGCCGGCAGCGCGCAGGGACAGCGGCCGCCGCCACACGGACACAGCAACCGCCGCTGCGGAGCTGCCGGGCCGGGCCGTCCGCCCTCCACTGGGCCGGGGACGCCATCTTAAGTGCGGGCGAAGCTCCCCTTCCCCTGCCGCGCCTGCCATACAAAGCAGTGGGACCACGTGACACGTACCCTCCCCACCCCCACCCCCCGTGCGGGAAGCTCCGGTGCCCACACTCAAAATGGCACGTAGGGCCTTCTGCCCCTTCCCTTCCCGCCACCCTCCCGGGCCGCCTCCTCCTCCCAACTCTCTCTCGCTCCGGCGGCTGGCGCAGGCCCCACTTACTCTGGGGGATAGAGGCGCAGCTCCTCGATATCTCCCAGAAAGCCGAACAGAGTCCGCATCTGCTCACTGGTGACCGCCGAGGACAGGTTGGTGACCTGGATGACAGAGGTGGGGCCCAAGGGGAAGCCCAGCGGCACCCCGATCCCTCCGCTGTTCATCATGGCGGAGCCCGCACGACCGCTCCGCTCGCGGCGGTGCCACACGCAGCCAGGGAGGCGGGCCCGACGGCGACAGAGAAGAGCGCGCCGCGCCTGCCAGAGCGTCCTAGCGCGCGGCCGCTCTGGCGGCACGCTCTACTGCTCCCTGGAGGAGTTTTGGGGAGGGCAGCCGCTCCTTTTCCCCACGTCCCCGGCTGGGGCTCCTGGGGGAGCGGGCGCCCCACCCCCGCTCCGCTCGGCCCCAGGCGGCCACCGCTGCCGGGGCCGTTAACGCTTCGCTAGACCAGGGAGCCGGCTGGGCCGCGGGACCGGCGCCGGGCCTTGCCCCGTCTATATGAGGGGCGCGGGCGCGCGCATGCCGCCCGGCCGTTACGGGCCGCGTGTCCCGCTCGCGCCTGGGCCGGCCGCAGGCTCGGCGGGGCGGCGGGGGCGGTCGGGTCAGGTGTCTCCGTCGCCCGGGCACCTTGGCGGGCTGGTTTCCTGCGCTTTCAGCTAAAGCGGGAGAATTCCCGGTGTGAACACGGCGTCCCGAAGCGCCTGCATGCAAAAATCCCACCTGTAATTGGGTGGGGGTCGGGTCTGTTCGTTGATCTGACATGAAATCCACCGAACGCTCTGCCCGTAAATTTAAAATACACCTACAAGAAATGGACGAAAAATACAGATTTGCCATGTAAATTCTCTTGGTAGCCAAGTTCAGTAAGAGCTGGTCTAATTACGCTCGGGAATAAACCCTTGAAAACACCCTTACTATGCCTAAACAGGAAGAGATTGTAATGGAGTAAGTTGTTCATTGTTTTGGTAGAATTTGACTGGGAATGTATCCCTATTAAATTGATTTTACTGTGAGTTACAGTTCATTTTTGTTTAAAAATTAAATGGGCTGGAGGAAATGAGACTGAGCACTATGTGGATGATCACTAATAAGGATCGAACTGCAGTCATACATGGTAAAAAAATGTGCATCCTGGCAATGAAAGATTTAAGGTTTCAGATGTGAATATTTTAGTTTTCAAGGCTTTCCATACCCCAAACCTGAACTGAGAAGGGACTGAAGTTTTTGAAGCTATCTGGGCTGAAAAAGACTGCAAATTTATGATACTACCCTGGGCAAGTAGGTCAGTTATTACAGAATCTCCATAGAGAAGTCTGGGTACTGCTTCCTTTGTTGATGCTTAGTATGTTACATAGTTTTAAATAATTCCAAGCAATTGTCAGCAATTTGTTTTGTTTTAAAATGCCTATGCGTATGTTTCAGGTAGTACTTATTTCAGAATGGTAATTGGTGCATTCATATTCTTCTTCTAAATGGAATCTATGTTCCAAAAGTACATCCTGGTAACTTTTAATTAGCCTAAGTTTAAAGAAGTTTAAGTGGAAAATTCAAGATCTTTTGTTATATATTGTGCAAAATTAAACTCCATTATGATTATTTTGTCTATAGGAGCATTACATAAATATTTCCTGTGGTTTGACTAGTACTTCTTATCTAATAGACAGCAGGGGTGTAGAAGCTTTTACTGCTTTGAACATTCTCGTCCTTTCTCCTTGTATCTTTCAGTGGAGGGTACCAGAAAAAGGACCTCTAAAACTTGCAAATAGAAAAGTTCTGTGATGTCAGATCTGACTGGGATAACCTCCTTCAGGTAAAGCCTTTAATACTACATATGAAATTCTGAGCTGCTCGTCTGCTTCCCAAAAGCAAAACAGAAGCAAAACGCTGTTTAAATCTTGTACTTGTCAGTCCCTGCTGCAGGACAAAATTATCTTGGAAAATAATACAAATGCATAAATTAATTTGGATTTCAGAAGAATAGCCAAAAAAACCCCGTGCCCAAACCCCCAGTGCTGAAGGCCTTGGTTCACACAGGCTGCCATTAAAATGCCAGAAGCAAGCAATGACTTTTTTAACCAAACTCTTCAAAATTTAGAAGTATTTAAGAGCCACTCCTTCTATAATAAAAACCAGAACTGTTTAGAAAAAGAATTAAAGAAAATGAGTAGACATGCAGAAGGGGAATCTACGTACAAGCGGTGCACAAACATAATCTCTCATCAACAGTTAACAGGCCTGCATTGACATTTTCTTACGTGTTTCTGTAGGCCAAGAGAAAACTTGTGATGTAAGTGGATTAATACATTAGGAGCTTGTTTTCAGTTTTGCTTACCTGGTTTTATACTTTTTAGTAGCTGATTTGGTGCACTCAGTTTCAGTAAATAAATTCTTTTGTTTTATCTTCAGCTTGCTTGTATGATCAATGATGTCAGGTTAACTAAGACCAAGGCATTCCATGCCTGCAGTGCAGAAGTCCTTCAGCTTCTCCCAGCTGGGGATCCCAACATCAGTCTCCTGACAACCCACACAATAGATTTTTGACTCAGCTCCTGTCCTGAAGCTCTAACCATGATCTCATAAAGCCCCTTCAGTTGCAGTTATCCGGAGTTGATGGGGTATTTGGGAGAACAGCTTTACAGTCATTGCTTTAAATTCTCAAAAATATGTGTTAACACCTTTCTGGAAGAGGAAAATTATTACTTAAAAATTCCTATTCTTAATATGTAAAAACAGGTGCAAACTATGCTTCAAAGAGAACTGATTTATAAGCAACCATTTTGTTACCAAAATTCTTTGTTGCCTGCAAAGTTGCTCCAGAAATTGGACTGAGTGGGACTTCGCAGGTCATAGGAGTCCCCTGGTGACCACAGTTTTCAGACACCATGAAGGCAAATGATAAATCATCTATGCATCACCAATATATGCATTCATCCTTTCTGAAAACAAAAAGTGGGGTTTTTTTTTAAGAGGTACAGGCAAATCTCAGAACATGAAGCATTTGCTTGCTGTTAAAACAACATACCTTTTCTGTTTCGTTAATCAGCTGAGTTTTTCCTGAAAATAATCTTCCCTTAGGACTGCATCATTCCCTCTTCTTTTTAGATTCTGAAAAACAACAGCAATACATTACCCTTACAGAGATGAAACTTAAATTCTGTGTTACCTACATGTAAAATGGTAAAGTCTTTAAAAAAAATCAACTGTTAACCTTTTGTCTAAGACTGTATCTCCTGATCTTTCCACAAAGTTTAAAAAGCATTTACTGGAAAATGTTAATTGCAAGTGCCAGCAGCAAAATCTTGGCAATTCAGGAGGTTACAGTAAAACCTGTTCTAGATGATAGGAGAAAAGTCCTTCTCCTTACAAGAAGGCACATTTACAGCAGGTGGTGGGTGGTCTGTTAAAGGTGGACATCAGTGTGGTACTTGTTGTGCTTCCCTGGATGGGGAAGGGAAATCAGATAAGGTAAGATAAAGACAGAAATAATAGAAAGCATTAATTGGGCTCCTTTAAATGGGGCCTTGAAGACTTCCAAAAGAATGTTATACACAGAGCACATCTACTTGATATAAAATCAAATAGTTCTAAGTTCTAAGCAATTATTGAAAAGGAAAATTTAACTTCAGCTTTAACTACTCCTACAGCACTGGTAAAACTTGTCTCCAGAAATCCCAAGCCCCCAAGACCCGTGAGAAAGCCTGGAAGCCATAACCCTTGGCAGTGGAGAATCAGGTTAAAGAAATTGTACATGCACACGTCCGTGGGACCTGATGGGATGTTCCTATGAGTGTTGAGGAATCTAGTCAGTGTCACTGTGAGACCATCATTAATTGTCTTTGAAAGGTTTTAGTGTTTGGGGGAGGTGAATGTCACCCCTAGATTCCAGATAGGCAAGAAGACACATCTGTAAAACTACAGGCCAGTCAGCCTGGGAAAGTGACAGAGCAAATCCTCTTGGGAAGTAAATTTCAAACATGTTAAGGACAAGAAGGTGATTGGGAGTTGTGAGCATGGATTTATGAAGAGAAAATTATGCCTGACCACCTGATAGCCTTCTACAGTGAAATCACTGGCTCCATGAAGGAGGGGAGAACAGCTATCTTGACGTTTGTGACTGTGTCCCATGACATCCTCATAGACAAACCAATGAGGTATGTAGTAGATGAATGGGCAATCAGATGCATTGGAAGCTGACAGAACTGCCCTGCTCAAAGGGTTGGGATCAGTGGGACAAAATCCAGCTGGCATTGAGTCAGTAGTGATGCACCCCAGGGTCAATATTGAGTCCAATACTCTTATATCAACATTATATTTTCATTAATATCTTGGACAGTGGGACATAGTGCAGTCTCAGCAGGTTTTCAGATGATACAAGATTCAGAGGAGTGGATGATAGCTTAGAGTGTATGTGCTGCCATGCAGAGGGACCTCAAAAGACTGGAGAAGTGGGCTGATGGGCATCTCATGTTGAGCAAAGGGAAGTGCAAAGTCCTGCACCTGGGCAGCAATAACCCCATGCACTGCTATATGCTGGAGGCCAACTAACTGGAAAGCTAACTGACAGAAAAAGATCTGGGAATGCTGTTTAACAAATTTAACATGGTCAAGAAATGCACCCTTGTTGCAAAGAAGGCCAGCAGCCCCCTGGGTTGCATGAGCAAGGGCATCACCAGCAGGTTGAGGAAGGTGATCCTTGCCCTCTACTCAGCACTGATTAGGCCACATCTGGAATGCTGTGTCCAGTGCTGGGCTTCTCAGCTCAGAAGGCTTCTTATCAATGTGAATAAGTACCAGCAGCATAAACAAGTGTGCTGGGTTTGTGTGCATGGCAGGGTTTCTGTTAGAGGGGGAGGGGGCTACAGTGGTGACTCCCTGTGAGAAGTTTCTTGAAGCTCCCCTGGCTCCCAAGTTGGAACCACTTCTGGCCAAGGCTGAGCCAATTAGCGATGGCAACTGTGCCTCTGTGATAATGTAGGGAGGGGCACCTGGGAGGAGGAGTTGGATTTGTGAGGAGGAGTTACAAGGAGAACATCTATGTGAACACTGAGGTCAGTGCAAGAAAGGAGGAGGAAGGAGAGGAGGTGCACTGGTGCAGAGACTCCCCTGCAGCCCATGGTGAGACAGCAGGGCTGCCTCCCTTTGCTGCCCCCCTTTGCTGCCCATGAAGGTCCATGGTAGAGCAGATAGCCACCTGCAGCCTGTGGAGGGGCCTGCACTGGAGCAGGTGGCTGTGCCTGAAGAAGGCCAGGACTCTGTGAGAAGAAGCAGCCCCCACTGTTCAGTACGGGGAGGACTGCAACAGCAAGGAGGGATCCACACCAGAGCAGCTTGGGAGGGGCTGTGGCCTATGGGAAGGACTCATGTTGGAGAAAGCTTGTGGAAGACACTCTCCTGTGGTGAGAGGGACACCGCGGGGGAGCAGGGGAAGAATGCGAGGGCGTCATCCCCCTGAGGAGGAAGAAGTGGTGGGACTGACTGCACCCCCCATGCTCCTGTGCCTCTGGAGGGGATGAGGTAGAGAAATCAGGAGCAAAGCTGAACTGGGAAAGAAGGGAGAGGGGGTAGTGGTAAGGTGTTTTTAAGATGTGGTAGGACTTCTCACTATCTTAGTCTGTCAAATGTTGTTAGTGTTTGAATTAAATTGATGTTCTTTTTCTTCCCCTAAGGAGTCTATGTCTTTTGCTCATGACCATAATGGCTGAGTCACCTCTCTCTGTCCTTATCTCGATTTCCAAGCTGTATGCTTTATTTTCTCCTTCCCATTCCTGAGGGGGAAGGAGGGAATGAGTGGCTGTGTGGTGCTCAGTTGCCCTGTGGGCTCAAACCATGACAACAAGACAGTCAGACTCTTCTCAGTGGTATCCAGTGACAGGACAAGAGAGAATGGGCACAAATTGAAATATAGGAAATTTCATTTAATCATAAGAGAAAAACCTCTGTTTTACTGTAAAAGTGTTTGACTGCTGGAACTGGTTGCCCAGAGAAGTTGTGGAGTTTCTGTTCTTGGCTACTCAAAACCTGGCCTGAGTAACCTGCTCTAGTTGACCTAGTTTTGAGCAGGGTGGGGTTGGACTGGTTGATCTCCAGAGGGCCCTTCCAGTCTCAGGAACTGCGTGATTCTGTGAGAATTAAAGGTGCCTTCCAGAACTGAGTTCACTTATTCATTCATTCTTAATTGATAAGAAGCCTGAAAGAATACTTTCTGTTAACTTTCTATTATAATGGAGATATTCTTTAGTAATCTTAGGAAGTCTTTGAATATCCATTGAAAGTGTTACATTTCTGGTATCTTGCTCCAAATGTCTGTAGTCAGTGCAGGTCTACAGTTGGTGGAATGGTTTGTTCTTTGATTATTTTTTACATATATTACAAGATCTTTGAACTACTTCACTGATGGTTTCTGTAATCATGAATCTTCTTCAAGGAGAAGGAATCTAACAGACTTTAAATCTTACTGTAATTGCCAAGTGTCCTGAGTTTGGGTGAGTGGTGGGGTTTTTTGGTAGAGGGGGGGGGGTTATAGGGGTGGACCCTGTGAGAAGCTTCTCGAAGTTTCCCTAGCTCCAAGTCGGCCCCACATCTGCACCAAAGCAGAGGCAATCAGCTGCACCTCTGTGATAACATATTTAAGAAGGGACGTGGTGAGGAGCAGTGGGACTTGTGAGGAGGAGTTGCTGCAGCTGCGTGAACACCAAGGTCAGTGGAGGAACGGAGGAAGAAAGGAGGGGGGAGGTGTGCCGGAGCAGAGACCCCCCTGTATCCTGTGGGGAGACGGCAGGGCGGCTCCCAACTGCCACCCATGGAGGTCTA